GCTTGTGGAAAAGTGATACTCAATATTTGCATACCTGTATGTAAGAAATAAACCAGCTCCTGTCCTGAAGAACTTAACCTAAAATATTCTTCTAAATAGCATTTAAATATTACTTAATATACAAACTCCTGAATGGACATCACCTCAGTGTTAGGATTAAAAATAGTCAGTACTTTCTCTATGACACATGTCATAAAAAGAAAACTTGTTTGAAGGTTTCAAATAATCCATAGTAGGGAAAACCTTAATTGAACACATTTATGTTGTTGGTTTGTTGTGGTTTTTTGTTTGTTTGTTTGGATTTTTCTTTTTTTTTTTTTGTGTTTTATTATGCTTCATTTTGCTTTCATTTTCTTGGGAAATCTGTGATAATTGAAAGACTTTGGAAATTTATAAGGCATCTTCAGAACACCAATTTCTAATTTGTGGAAACTTCTTAAGTGCTGGAAATTAAGTATTCATTTTAGAATGGAAGCTGGTAATGCCAAAAAGACCTGTGTAATGTTTTGTTAATTTCTTTATAATTATAGTGGATTTCATCCCTCTGTTTTGGATCATAGTGTTGGTAGGGCCTGTTTTCAAACCATATTATTCATTTTTATTCTTTGTGAATCCTTGAACAGCATATACTAAACCAGAACTTGTTAAAATGTCTCCTTTTACTAGCTGACAGCTGCAAGTTCTGATAAAGTTATTTTCCTTTAATGAAAAAGCAAAAGACAAAACTAGATTAGTGCTAAGAGGTTGAGAATGCAATCAATCTTTATATTTCAGGTTCTGTTTCTATGCAACAATTCCTCTTCAGCACAACCTGCTTCTTCCTTCGATTTGCATATCTTGCTCAGTTCTGCATCTTTGCCTCCTTGATTGTTTTTTGTTCATGTCCGTTTGTGAAATAAAATCCTGTTTTTGAACTGTCTTTTCTGTTTTGAGGTATGTGTCATTTTCACAATTCTTCACAATGTTCTTCAGCCTCTTTTGTGATGGAGCCTGAATGACATTTGGTCTGCTTTGTGATCTTTCTTTTAATCATCCTGTTTCCTCTTTCTCTCTTTCTTGTTGGGCGGCCATTGGGCAGTAAGACGTTTATCTCCTTTCAAACTTAGATTTCCCTTTCTGATTTCCTAAGTGGTATTGAACTGTTTATAAGTTTCTCACATGGGAAGAAAGGCTGGTGACAGCATCTACTTGTGCAGCCTGTTTCTGTGCAGTGCTGGATGCTGACTTTCCTGACTCTGTTCTAACTAACCCCTTGTGGTAGAGCCTTGTGAATTACTGATGTTTTCTGAATTGGTACTTACACTTCCCTGCTCAAGGGCGTTTGTTAAAACTGGCACTAAACTGTTGTATGCAGTAGAGCTGCAGCATCTTGTTGTTTTGCTTCCGGCCTTTTCAGATTAATTTATAATACCTGTGCAACTGTTCCTAAAGCCTTTCCCTTTGCAGTTAATACATGACTGAATATACTGTTGAAATCTAAAAACTTAGGAAAATCAATTGGTAGAGAAAGATGCGCAGGTCATGTTGTTCTTGACTGTTTCTAACCTCACTGTTCTGTGAATAGGGAATTGTGTTGAACTGCAGTAGAGTCTTTTACATTAAGTAGCATAATACTGTTATATGATGCAGTATAATCTGTTAATGTGTCTTTGCTATTTTCTTTGCCCTTTATAAATACCTCTTGCAGTGAATCTACTGTCTAAACTCTCTTAAAAAAAGAAGGCCACCTAAACTTATTTTCTAACTAATAGTGATCTTCCATACTTTCCTTGCTCAAGTTTGTTAACAGTTTGTGGCAAGGAACCTTTGCTAGCTCCATGAGGAAGAAATACATTAATTGTATGACATTAATGAATATACAACTAGTTACAGTATTATATATTAACAAATACAGTAATTTGTATGTTCATCACTTGATGTCAGAGGGCAACATGTTACATTTCATTTCTAGCTAAATTCTTATTTTTCATATTTGTCTCAGCCTAATCGGGCACAAGGGTCTGTAGCCATTTCTTGCAGAAATTAGGGACGAGATTTTTTTTCTTTGCTTGGGGTTCTGTGACTGCTGTAGCTCCTTTTCTGCTTTTTGGAAAAAACCTTCTGCAAAGAGAAGTGTTCTTGCTCCTTTCTAATGCTCGTTGCATTGCTGAAGTGTAGTAGTACGAAACTGATCTAATGGTTATTGAGTTTTTTCCTGCCTGTAGAGTTCAGGCTTTTGCAGTTAAATGTCTTCTTTGTACAAGCCAATCCAGAGGTTCAGAAACTTCAGAAGACTGAGCCATCCTTTAATTTACTCATTTCTTGTATTTGGAGTATCACAACTCATATTTTTAAGAGGTAACTTCTGATTCTGTAAATATTGATAGCCTTTGGGTTTTTGAAGGTTACTCAAAAAGCAGTTTCAATTTGCAAGCAAGTCCTATACCTTAAGTGACTCTGATTTCCACAATCTACTAGACATGGTTGAAAAACAATGCAGAGAAAAGAAAGCCTGTATTTCACACTCCTCATCATTCCAGCAGCAAGAGTGCTTGACTTGGAAGTATTACACAGTCTATGTCTTTGACTGTTAATTTTGGAGGGATATTGAAATACCAGTTAACTTGGTAGAGTTTTTACAGGGATTAGTCTGTAGAGCTGCTTGCTGAAACACCCTAGTTTGGTTTTTCTCATTTTGTAATTGCTGTAAATGCTGAGAATTAAATTTGCCTAATTAAAAACAGCCGCATGAGAATATAGATAGAAAATTATATTTCAATTATGGCTTTAGGTCAAGTTAATATCTTCTTGTAAAGTAATTGTTCTGTACCTATTTGTACGTAGGTCAGCCAGTGATGAGGTCGTTACTGCTTTGTGTTGAAGTGGAAATTTGGAGCCTTGTCTGTTTTCTGGGGAAAATTTGTTTTATCTTCAAATTGTTGTGGAGCAGGAGAGAAGCTGAAAGAGCTTTAATTACCTACTAAATATTTTACCTTCAAAAAATGAGTGTTTTGATCTTCTGGGTAGATCTGTCTTTTCTTCATTTGAGAGAGTATGATATGCTAAATGACAGCTTGAGTATAACCTTAATTTTTGGTGAAAACTGTGGGACTCTCTAGTTCCTCCAGGTTCTTGGTGATGCTTTCGTGTGTTGGCCTAAGGTTTTGAATGAAGTTATGTTCCTTTGTTCCTCTGTTAGTTTTCCAAATTTGAAGTCGTTCTATCACATGACACAATTTACTCTTTGCAGTTGCTTTGATTTTCTGCGTTCATATTCACCAACAAAGGGGAAAAAAGTCCTTCCTACTAATGAAGCTATTAAATTGGTGATTGTAAGTGTCTGATATCCAGTTTATATCCATCATTGTCCCAAAAAACAAGATCAGTTGTGATATGCTTTGGTTTTTTATTTCTCTTTAATATGTTGTTAAATGTAAGTTAATGTAATTTCTTTGTTAAGATCTTGGCTCTTAACTCTGAAAATCCCAGGACACATCAGTCAGTTGATAAAGTCTTCAGTCCCATTTTATGTTTTCTCCCATACTCTTTAGAGAAGCTTTTGCACTGTATGCTTCCAAAGCTGCCTTCTTTGAAATGCTCTCTGAAGCTCTGCTTTTGTTATGCATAAAGATTTGTGGTTTGTTTCAGGTTGGGGAGGGCGGCTGTTTGTGACTTGTCATTGGTGTGTCTGTTCTTTTGCAGTCGTTTGCATTTTCTACCTTGTTTTGTACTTGGATCACAAACGTTCTGCACGGTGTGGTCTTGGTTTAATTTTTACTAGTGTGGGGTTAGTCCTTGTAACAGCACATGGGGCCATGGGGTGGATTGATTGAGAAACTAACTTTACTGCGAGTGTCTTTAAAGCCCAAAGGGACCAGTTGCCATGGTCTGCTCATTAGCTAAGGGAATTGAATAAACTTCACTTTGTGTTATAACGTAGAAAGAAGTTTTGTAGGTGAAACCAGTATATTAACCTCAGTGGAACCAACAAATTACTATCTTGTAAATTTTTCTCTGAGTCCTTCAGAAGCAGTGGAGGAGCAAACTGTTAATCCCAAAACCTTCCTATTTCCCAGCACTGCGAATTTTTCCTTATATAGTCCTTTTGTTGTATTTTTGTCAAGGTTTAATCAACCTTTTTAAATATTCAGAGTGAGCAGTTGTTTCTCACACCATTGTGAACTCTTAATTGCATCAGAACTTCATTTAGTGGTGGCAGAATTTTATTCTTTCCCTACTAAAGGTTGTGTTCCTTCTGAATCCTTCTGGGAAACTCCTTTCCTTGGCTTTTTGAGAGTTCATTATTCATTTATGCACTTAAAATTGCAAGGTTCTGAGAATTTTTCAGAGTGATGCAAGCTTAAGAAATGTGAGCTTTGAAGCGATTGGATAAGCAGATTGGGTTGTTGCTGCTAAAGAGTAGCAGCTGGGAACTGCCAAAAATGAAATTGTGAAATGTACCTTAGCTCATAAAGGTAACACTTTTGTTCCTGTCACTGTTTTCTCTCAAGTTTTATTTACAGATTGCAATGTTTTTACAGTGAGAGCTCTTACTGTTTTCTCTGGTTTCTCATACATGTGAGGTTTTGCTTTTCTCCTTCAAATAACAAGATTAATTTGTTAGTTTTCCAAATGTGGCACAATCTATTCTCTGCCTTACCTAGTTTTAAAAACTCACTATATTTATTTCTAGCACTTTTTATTATCTATCTGACATACTGCAAGCTCTATTATGGAGATCATAACATGGAACAGAAAATGTGAATGGTCTCACATATTACAGATGGGACAATTGAGTTAAGTTTATAGTAATCTAGTTATCCTTTAGGTTTTTATTATGTCTACATCAGAGTTGGTGAGATGATTTGGGGGAATACATACATACCTAGTAAATTATATTATCAGTCTGTGCTCTGACCTCATGGCTTCTTTTGTCCTCCAAATTCGGGAAAAGGACTTTGCAGTAAAACTGGTTTTATCTTTGGTCATTCTTTCTTATTAAGCAGTTTAGCAAACTGCTCTTTGTTGTTTCTGCTGGGTCTGTATGTCTCATTCTGTCTTGGGTGACTTTTTTTTCTGGGAGACACCGCAGGTGAGTAATTAGTGTTTGCGTCTGCATGTAGAGATCTATGATTAAACCAACTACTTAATCATACCTTCAAGATCATGTAAGTTAGATTTTTGCTGGAAGCTGAGCAAGTGTAATGGAGTTCAGATAGGGAATGCTATGGGATTGATGTATACGAATATATATCATATAATCCCTTCTCTAAGTGTACAGACTTCATAATTGCTTTTCAGTCCTGAACACTTGAAATTCAAAACATGAAAATTTTAAAAAGTGGTTTTATCCTGTTTGAGTAGGTGCACTTTTTATTGTTATGTTTCCCTTTAAAAAAGCCAAATGGTGTATTAAAGGCTGAATCCTCTTATAAATTACACTCTTGATTCCTTTTTCTCTCTGGTAGAGGCTTTGGCAACAGGAGCCATCACTAATGTTGGTTTTGCTTTGTGCTTCATTGGTTTAGGGCTTCCCTGTGAAATCCTAGAATAGTTACTTGACTGTGATGGCCTTAAGCCATTAATATCTCACATTGGAGGAGACCAGTGGACAGTGAAGGATTTAAATAAAGCGTAGCAGAAGTTACTGGCCAACCGCCAGCCAGGGGACAAGTGGCTTCCCTTAAAATGACTGATGAAGCTTGAACAGAGACATGACTGGATTAGGTGGTGACTAAGGAGTAAACTGTGGGCTTTTCCTAAGACTTGGACAGTCTTTCTTGCCTCCTATGTCCAGAAAGGTGATGTGGTAGAACCTGATGTACATGCAAGAGGGGAGAGTCTTCTAAAGAATCACCACTTAAAATAAGTTGGTGGTGTTTTGTTTTTGTTTGGTTTTTTTGTTTGTTTGTTTTTAAAATAAGATTTTCTTTTTTTTTTTATTGTGGCAAAGGGAATTATAACACTCGACATACTTGAAAGAAGCAATGCCAGAATGCTGTAACAGCTTTAACCTGACTTGATCTCTACTGTAATCCCAAATCCACCAATCCCCTTTGCCTTGGTTCATTATCTCTGATGTCTGCAATTTAAATATGTTGAATTAGGTATTAATCTTTTTCTAAGTTCCTTCAGTACTGAAGGTCACAGAGTATTTTATTTAGTGGCAGGATTAAAAGTCTAGGTTGCTTTTTAACACATTTAAAACTTGAAATCTTCTTTCCAAGGTAAGTTAAAAGAAGCTGGTTTTGGTTTTGTGGTATTATGATTTTTTTTTTCCTGACATGCTCTCTTTTCTCTCTATAAAATGCTTACAGCCTTCCTTGATGTTTGCTGTTGATTAGTATTCAGGTGAGGTATTGAGTTAGAATATTAACAAGAGCTGTAAGACGTGTCTTTTGTACTTTTATGGTTTCTCTTAAAGATCATACATAAAAGCTGAGCACTGATAAAAGTTCAGTTGTTTATCAGATTTCTGGTAACCTTTGCAATAAATGTATCTGCATGTATCCACAAAAAGTTACTATAAAATTTCAAGGGATGATGATTTGCAGATGTAGGGGAGAAAGTAGTTTCTGTATCTAAATGAAAGTTTCCAAACTTAAAGGTGGAATGGAGCAATATGTTGACTGGCCTGCTTCACTGGTTTTAAACTGCTGGTTGGAATTTTAACAGAGGTGCTAGGGAGTTGTGGATGTATTATGCTAGATAGTTGTGGTCTCTTTGAAATTGTGCCTGGCAGTGAATGGAAATTGCCTCTACCTATTTAAAGGAAACCTTAAATTGGTTGCACAGCAATGTGTGAACTAAATGTAAGATTTCTTTTTAATCCCAAATGAATAGCAAGGTAAAGTCCCCTCTGAAACTCCTTTATCCTCAGCTAAACATCCCCAGCTGCCTCAGCTGCTTCTCATGGGACCTAGGTTCCAAACCTTCTGTGGACTTGCTCCAGAACCTCAATGTCCTTTTTGAAGTGAGGGACCCAGAACTGGATATAGGTTTTGAGGTGTCACCAGTGCCAAGTACGGGGAAAGAATGAGCTTCCTGGTTCTGCTGGCCACACTATTCCTGATCCAGCCAGCATGTCATTGGCCTTCTTGGCCACCTGGGCACACACTGGCTCATGATCAGCTGCTGTCAGTCAACACCACGATGTCATGTTCCACTGGGACACTTTCCAGCTACTTTTCCCCCAGCCTGTGGTGCTGTCTGGGCTTCTGACCCCAGGGCAGGACCTGGCACTTCACCTTGTTGAACTCGTACCACTGGCCTTGGCCCACTGATCCAGCCTGTCCAGATCCCTCCTGCAGAGCCTTCCTACCCTCCAGCAGAACACAACTCCCATAGTGTCATCTGCAAAATGACTGAGAGTACCCTCGATCCTCTTGTCCAGATCATTGACAAAAGTATTAAATATGACCTGCCCCAAAACTGATCCCCCTGGGGAGCTGACCGGCCTCCAGCTGAATGCAACGCCACTCACCACCGCTCTTGGCTTGGCCATCCAGGAAATTCTTTTACCCAGTGAAATCCTGGCCCACCTGAGCCATGCACAGACAGTTCCTCCAAGAGAATGCTGTGGGACACAAGTGTCAAAGGCTTTCCTAAAGTGTGGTAGATGACATCCACAACCTTGCCTTCATCTGCCCGGTGGGACACGTTGCAATAGAAGGAGATGAGGTTGGTCAAGCAGGGCCTGCCTTGCAAGAACCCCGGCTGACTGGGACTGACAGAGACACTGCTTGCTCTTGTTGTCCTGCATGCGCTGTGTGATTGCACCCGAGATAATCTAAATACCAACATCTAAGGTCAGTTCATAAATTTCACAGCTTGGTTTTGTAGCTATATCTTCAGGAAAAAATAACTCTAATATATTGCTGCAATATGCATCTTGTTGCTGGTTGACTAAAGAATTAAAGAAAAAGTGTTGGATACTCCTCTGTAAGAATACTGTTCATTCTTTTGCATACAGACCATTGAAAGATTGATTTGGTTAAGAAATACCAAAACAGATTTCTTTCATGAGTTGTGCCATTCCGTGAGTTCAATATATGTTGCTGGCTCTAGCTATTAGAGATGTGTTCATAATAGTAGTTACTGATTTTGATGGCAAGTTTTACTCGGAGAAGTGCAACTCCTACATACCAATGGAATGCCTAAGTCCTTTACTGTCAAACTTCTTGTCTGTGCTACTTACCTGTTACCAACATTATTGCTGCTTCTCTGTTTTCCTGTCTTTTCCTTCCTTATTTATTTACTTTACTTTAATCCATGACTTTTCTGTATAACCTGTGAGAATTTGTTGCTCGTTTGTACCCTCTTTAATTCTTTCTGTTGCACATGTGGATGACTGTAGGCACATACCACAGGGTAGCAAGATGCCCACATTTGACAGTCCAGTGCCAGAAAATATGTTGGATTTTTGGATAACCAAGGTAATAGCTATGAAATGTCATGGGCTTTGGTTACAACAATGAATGAAACATAAGAAGAGCTGAGGTGGTGAAAATTGTAGTGTAGTCCTCAATGCTCAATGAATTGTCATTTGAGCTGGATTCAGCTTGGAAGTCTTGGATCTTAAACCACTGTCATAGTGTCCTAGCTTCAGGATAACTGGACTTGTTGGTGGCCTGAAAACAAAATGCAAGATTGGCAACTGTAGTCTAGCTCACTGCTAGGAGACGTTTAATTTTTGGTCTTACTGAATGTGAGGTGGGTGTCACCTCACATGAATTTTTATGTATTTCTTTAATTCCTTCCTTAGGACATGACCTTAGAAGACAAGCTGAGAATTTGGGGTCAGCAGTGAAAGTGTCACTGCTGATAAGTTTCTTGAACTTCCACAAGTCTTCTTATTCAATGTCTTCTAATTTCTTGGCTTCACTTAATTTTTGCATTGCAAAATCTAATGCAACATTAGTATAAATGTAAGAATCTCAGAGGTGGATTTATTTTCTTTGAGTAGAAGTCTTGTGTTGGAGAACTGCTAATTCAAGGAGGAACTATTTAGGAGAGTTGCACTCTGCCTGGAATACTTTCAAGCAACTTAGTAGCTTAAAACAATACAGAAGTCACCAAGTTGCTTTAAATGGTATTTTCTAAATTTTGGCAGTTAGTCTGCGCTATTACCAGTTCTTCAGTTAAGGCTTGATTTCAGGTGACCCTGTTTGGATATTCAAATTTTAGGCAGATTTGTTCACTACCTGCAAGAAAAAGCCTAAAAGGTGACTTAATTACTCCAAGTCAAAACACAAATGCCAAATTCCCTGGTGATCTATAACATTTCCTTTACAAGTTTCCTTTTGCAATGTATAAATTGGATATTCCTGTTAAATAGAAGATAATCAGTGATGGATTTTTCTTGGTTCATAGACTCCTCTTGGACTGACCACAATGTTACTGTGTTGAGTAGTTTGTTCAAGGGTTTTTGAGGGTTTTTTATTTCTTCTCATAGAATTTAACTAAAAAGGCCAAATAGAAGTATGTTAATAGTCTTTCTGAACAGGGTCGATTAAAGTATTTTTCTTGCTGCTTTTTTGCACTGAAATCTTGTTCTTGCTTTTCTTGTTTTAAGCCATATTTTTTGTGATGTCTGCAGAAACTTTGTGTACATCTTTCATCTGCACTCTGGTAAACTCCTTTTAATGTTTAATTCTCTAAGTTCCTTATAAAAATGTATAAATTACAATAGGTGAGATCTTGCATATTTTTGTGACCAACATTTAATTCAGAAATTCAAATATTAAAGTGGCTTAAAGCTTCCTGGGCTTTGTGTGAAACTTATTTTAAACCACTGTAGATGTGTCTGTGTGGCATGTTCTATTCATGCAGGAGTTTTTAGAGCCTTGAAAACACATACCATCATTTTTACTTTGACTACTTGCCTGCTGTTTTTTGATGAGGAATACGAACCTCTGACAGCCAAAGCCCTAGTAACTTGTTAAACAGTGATCATAAAAAAACCACCCAACCAAATCAAACTTCTTTTCACCAAGCAGTTCTTCACTGTTAAAGCTTTATGAAAGTGACAATACATGGAAAATGAGCTCGAAGGAGGAGGAAGAATTCTCTGCAACAGGTAATTGTCATCAAAATTAATTTTGGTGGTATGGAGAAGAAAGAGAAAAGACAGAGAAGCAGTTTCTGTGTTTGTGGAACAGGGAGAAGGGTCTTATGTGTAGGCTCTTCGTAAATGTCAACTGCCAGCTGCTTCCATCTTTAATACTCCTATTCTTTTAAGTTGTGGTAGGGGATGAGGCATTATGCATGAGGCATTATCTGGTCCCCAGCTGACATGGTTTGGACTCTTTCACTTGCCCGCTGAAGTTTCTTGCTTTTGCTAACAGTGGTAATTAGGAGTGTAGAGGGAACAGGAGCAGATGAAAGAAGCACAACATACAGTGTGTTGCCAGCACCCCAGGAGGTGGCTTTGCATCAACAACACAAATGCAGGAACATCTAGTGCAGAGCTGGAACAGCCGGTGCTGTAACAAGGTGGTTTGCATGTTTAAGGCAATTTACAAGGATGAACATCTTACATTGATTTTGTATGCTGCTACAGAAGATAGCAAATCTTGGACAACTACTCCTGTACATGTACTAAACAGATCAGGAGACCACTCTTGCCCCTTGTTAAATTAACTGCCTGGCTGTGGAAAGAACCTAATGTTTTAGACTGTCCAGGGATTAATTTTCATTTGTAGTGACTCGTACACCGCCCACCCTCTTTGGAGAAGTAAATTTGAGATTAGTCCTAGGATGAAATTGTGGCCTGCTGACATTTAAACACATTTTCTGCCTTTATAAAAGCAGAAAACTAATTAAGGGCTGATGCTCTAATTTAACTCTCTGAACTATTTACAAAAATATGCACACCATGCAGAAAAGTTATGCATAATTAGACCTAGAAACAATGTTCTACTAATATATGCTGAAGAACTGCTTTGCAGTATGATGTCTGTGTACAAGCTGTTTTGTATAAACAAATGCAGATAAAAATTAAAATTCTCTTACTAATTTTGCTAATTGCTAATTTCCTTTTTTATTTTCTATCTACAGATCTTCATGTCTTTCACTAAAAGGAAACTTGTCAAGATAATTGCCTCAACTATTGTACCTTGGAGCAGCATGTACAAAACTGATCTTAAGATGAAAGAGTGATTAGTATTTGAAATAGCTGACAGGGAAAAAATCAGGAAATACATTTTTTTTAAAATATAGTTTACAGAAGATATGACTAAAGTCCGCTAAGAGGTTATTCTTACCTAGTAAAAAGGCACAGCTGCTGAAAGGAAAAAGAATACTTAGAAAATTGCAAGATCCATTTTTGTTCTTAAAGAAACACATTACTTGTCGTGTCAGCTCCTTTAGTGATGTGTTTTGACTTTTCTCTAGGAAACTGGCATTTCTGCAGTATTCAGAATTGGGTCAACCTTCTGTTAGCAGATTTTGGACTTTTGTCTGTAATTATTTCTGTCAACAAGTCATGATTTTGTGCCTGTTTAACTAGGAATTAACTCATAGCCTTTTAACAACATTTAAGAAAATTTCAAGACTGTTCTGAAAGGATGAGGGTATTCAAAGTATTTGTAGTATTTCAGCTTCTTTTTCTACTGGTGCAGCTTGAGAGAGAGAGCAGAGTTCCAGCAGCCTGGTAGTGATACCCAGATGCAGCTGGGGAAGGCATGTTTTACAGTGGGTATAGGGGCCAAGTAAATCTCTTGTGGAGTGTTGACTCTGTAAAAGTTGCATTTCTTCAACAAACCATGTGCCATTGGTATCTAAATGTGCTGATGTAGTGTATACAAGCAGATACTCTGCCTTTTTGTGAGGTATGCTAAGTATATATCTGGCAGGAAACACTAATATTATAATGAGGTTTTTAAATTGACAGTCTTATGTTGTGTCAGAACCTTGTTACTCTACAGATGCGTTTGTATAATGAACTTTTCTATTGGAGATGAAATTACATCTTTGGAGTTTTACACTGACTTTGGTCTTTATAGATTAGTGTAATTTAAAACTACAAACTGTTATTTTGATGAATAAGGTGTATAATTATAATGACCTTTTTCAGTAACTCAAATTTTCTGTTAGTGCACTCAATCACAAAGAATATTTTTCAGCATTCTTTAGAATGCTACCTCATCTGTTGTTAAAATCAGGTAATTCTTTGCATTAAAACTGTATAGATGAAAATGTGTATCCAGTTTCTTTCCCTTTTCTTAGAGGGTTTACTTGATACTTGATGTTGTCTCATAGCTGTGCTTTGCTCCTGGCTTTTTTTTTGAGCACATGAATGTGGATATAGCTCTAGACCCTCCATTTCACTTACTACTTGCCTTCTAGACCCTCAATTTCACTTACTACCTGCCTATTAAACAATCCTTCCTTCTTAAGCAAGAAGAGTATTCAGCCTGCTTAGTGCTTGTGTTTCAGGGTTTATCTCCTGTCTATAAAGCATATACACATTCTCATTGTATTTGGGGACAAGTAAGCAACCTTCTTGTACTGCTGCTTGTGGAATATGATAAAAAATACCTGCTTCTGAGACCAAATAATTCCTGTTAATGTCTGAAGATCAAGGCTTTCGTATAGAGCACTATTTTTGTGTTTGTCCGAGTCACAGCAGTGCAAACAGGAATTTTGGCATGAGTAATTCAGTTGTTTATTTGTACTGAAAAACACCCTCCCTACCAACATCCTTTGAAATCTTACAAGAATTTTGGATTCTCCTGTGAATATGAATATTCAGCGCATCAATAGCAGGTAACTGCTTTTTAAAATACTTTACTTAAATACTATATGGAAAGTGTTGAATAATCTTGTAATTTTTACATTGTCATTTACTACATTTTTCTGCCTTTTTAGATGTCCAAGATCCAGTCCTGGATAGGTAAGTATTCTGAACACTTTTATTTTAGCAGTAACTGTATCAAAGAAAAATTAAGCTGAAGTTTATTCACTTTTTTGTCTGATTTCCAAATATTTTTTAGGCTACTCCATTTAGATAACTTACTTATGACTTAGCATGTGCATCTAAATGCATAGTAAGGCTCCTTATAAACATTACACTTACTCAATTCATGAAGTGAAAACAGTTACTCCCCATTTTTTTTTGTTTTGTCCTGCTCAGTTTTCAGAAGCATTTTGTGTCTTTTGGCAGATTGGTTTTGGTGGCCTGTACCAGAAATTAATTTTCTCCCAAGACCAGAACAAGGATGTAAAGGCCCACAACAGTAGTAGTTAAGATTGTATATTTGTGTGCATGTACATAAATGCACTGGTTTTAATTCAACTTTCTCCTTTAATTTGCAGCCTTCCAGTCTGGTGTTTTTCTTGCCTCTTCATGACCTCGTGTCTTGAGCAGCCTAGCTGGATCCCCTGGTTCCTGTTTCTTCTTGTTTCAAAATTCTGCTTTCTCCCATTTTAGATTCCCTACCCTTTTATATTCATATGCATACACTAGCCTTTTGCTACCTGTTTTGGTCTTCGCTGTTTATCCTGAGACTTTGGTTTGGTCCCATGCAGTATTTTCCATGTGGCACTGCTCTCCTGGATTCCCTGCCACAGTGCAGTTGGTTTGTCTGAAGAACATCCCTGATGTACTTCTGAGGTTTTAATGGCCTGATGGTCCTCATCTACCTTTCTGTTCTGCTTCTTTGTCTTGCTCTAAGTACACATTGGAGAAGACATTAAGGCTGTATTTTTGCTGCCCTACTTAGAAAGCAAATGCATGAACATTTTTTAAAGAACCAAGAGAGTCTGTGGATTGTGGGGGATGATAAGCAAAGTGAAAAGTTCCTGAGATAAAAAATGCAAACAACTCCTCTCAACAACAACAACACATCTCCTCTTGGACATGTTTAGATTCATGAGATGTTTGTTCTTCTCCTTTCTGCTCTAATTAGGAAATGCAGTCACATTTTAGCTTCTAGGCTAAATGTAGTTCTTCCTTTTTTTCCCCCTTCTGTCAAGTAATCTCTCTGTTCAATTTTGTATCATTTTGACGAGCCTTTCTTTGCAAGTGCTCAGCTGTGAAATCCCGTATGCTCTACACCATAAGAGAATTGCTGCTGAATAGAGTATCTTAGATTCATCTGAAATATGTTTTGTTTTCTGGTGTAATACACTCCCTTAAAAACATTTGTTTTGAATGTGGTTATGAATCTCTTCAGTTATCTGGCTGCTCCTTTGCTAATGGATTCAAAAAAGTCATTAAGCATGTGCGTATTGTGATCTCTGGCTCAAAGTGAGGCATTTGGGGGAAAATACCAAGTTTAAGTGTATTTTGGCGTTCCTACTGCAGTAGTTCATGCTGATTTCCATAAGTGCAAATTTACATTGTTGGTGCCATCAAAGTTTTAAGTTTTTGTGCTATTACTGTGTTGTTGTGTAGCAAGGATTTAAAGTCTTAGTTTGACTTCCCGTTCAGTTACAAAGCAGGAACATACTAACATAGTACATTACAAAAATATTTAAATGTAAAGCTATTATGTCTGAGTTTCTGGTCATGTAAAATTCTTCTTTTGCATAATTCTTGCTGCGTGAATCCTTTTTCGGGGGAACGGGCAGGTGGTTCAGGGAAGAAAACAGTTTTCTTATGCAAATTGAATAAGATTTGTCGTCGGAGTTTATAAGGACATGTCTGTTTCTGTTTATGAAATAAAATGGTAAAGCAGGTTTTGCGAAGTTTTGAAATTAAATGTTTTTAACTTGAAAAGTAGCATTTCCTCAATATATAAGCAGTGAGTTTGTTTTTCTGAGTTTAGAATACGGGATTCAATTTCTTGTCATAATTATGTGAACTGACATTTTCATGGAAATTGTCATTTAAGGAGACCTCTTAATGGTTTTATATTTCTTTGTATGTTTTGGCAACATAGATGTATTCAAATAAAACACTGTCTATGATTGTTGGGTCTGAAATATATATTTTTAAATAACAATGTATCTTGTATTTCCTGAGATTTTTACAGTGCTGAAATTTAAATAGTTGCTTAAAGCTAATCTAGGAGTAACTGCAACTTTGTTCTTTTTTTCTTGTTGTGTTTCAGGGAAATGAGGCAAGCTACCCTTTGGAAATGTGCTCGCACTGTAAGTTTTTTTTAATTGCTACACTGTATTGTTACAGAAGTCAGTTTTGTTTGGAAATTGATATGTACAGTTTCCATGTATGATATGCAGTTTATATACTAACTAAAAGAATAAAATTAAAAGGTTAAAAATTACCTTTGGAAATAATACAGCTTTTGCTTTTAGATTGTAAAATCAAAAATCAGTCCATCTTTAAAATAAAAATCACTTAAAGGTTTGAGGGTTTTCTTTGAGTCTTCCATTAGAATATTAAAAAAAACCTTAAAATAGTCTTGATGTCTCTAGGGTGAAGTGTAGTTCAACCAGTGGGGCTTTTCCATCAATCCTGGTGCCAGTTCCTCAGGGCTGTGGAGCAGTCATGGTGCAGTCTGTGCTGTGTTAGGAGTGAAGTATATTGCTTAAACTGGCTTTGTGCCTTCAGAGGAAGGGAGAGGTTGAGACTAAATGAGCTCTTTTTTCCCTTGTGTATGTTTGCAGCCAAGCAGTTAGGTGAGAACCCACTTGGTGTTACTTGCTTTTGGCCACATGAGAATAAAACTTGTTGCTCCATCTCATGGGATTAGTCTACCCTGTAAAAATGGCAAAGTATTTTTTGCTTAAAGCTGACCAAAGAAAGGGTTGTCTTGTGAAATGTCCTTGTGGTGTTGTGCTAAGTGTACCTATTCTTAATTGCTTTTTCTATTCAATGATTTTCTTCAGCCCTAAAGTGCGTGTAGACATGTGTTTGTGTCTTCTGAACCACTTGATAAAATTCCTTGTCTTGGGTGAATTGGATCTTGTTTTTAAACAGGGTAACCCTTCAAGAGAGGGACTGTGTTCTAGATTCCTTTCACAGAGCTTGTCATGCGCTTGTGATGGCCTATGGCTCTTGAAACTCAAACTGTAATAGAAGATAAATGGTTATGGAGAAATCTTTGTCTAAATATGTTTTTTCAGAGAAATGAGATTTCAGCTGGGAATTTGCAAGTCCTCTGTGCCTAATAGGAACATCTACATGGATTCCAATTTGAGTCATAAGTTTGCAAACACTTGGGAATATCATCCACAGCAGTGCATAGCTGTGTAATGCTCTCAGTGTATTTTGTTAAATGCAAATACATGGTTGGAGTTTTGTACTTGATGAAGACTTCAGTAGTGTTTTCCTGAATCATATATATATATCTCCATCTTACATTAATGCTCCATTGGTCAGTGTTTTGTTATGGATAGACTGGTTTCTGAAGAACTATTTTTTTTTTTAGCTAGTCATGTCAGAGTTGTAAGCAGTGTGTTGCCATCCTTGACTGCTGATTCTAGGACAAACTATATTCATTGGTAGCAGTGGGCAACCTGAAGGTTTATTATTGAGCTTCTTTGCCCATTTTTATTGCAGAGAAATTGATGATTTTTTTGCATAGTATTCTGTGGTTAAATTATATGTTGAGGCTGTTGTTGTTTAAATATGAAGTTTTGCAAGACTAAAGGTTGTTTTGCTCTGCTGGCCTTTCTCACAGCAGAAGGTTGGCTGTATCCCTGGGCAGCATGTCTCAGCACACCAGGAAAATAGAGTTATCACTGTCCCTTTGCTTGGATGGGCCCAGCCACTGCAATGATAGTGCTGTGCTTAAAGATCCTGAGTGCCTCAGTATTCTGAAAGCCAGGGGTTTTGGACACTGGTGTGCACAGCTGCATGACTGGAAGCAAGCTTGCCAAGTAGATGTTCACATTGTTCTTGAAGTGTTAAATGTTCCTGCTGCTTCCCAGAAATTGTCACTGACAGGTCTAAAGTTTTCAAGGCAAGGCCAGACAGTGTCTTTGAGGATCATCTGATATGGTGTCTTGGTTAGAAAAGACGGCTGTCTGCTAAGGAGGGCAGGAGCCTCCCCTGACCTGGAAACTGTAAATCCCTCCCCCCTCCGAAATGTTATAAATTTGAAATTAAGGGGGGTTCTCAGGCAAAGATATGGGAGCAGGAATAACAGTTCTTTATTAGGGAAGACAATAAAAAATAAATGCAGTAATACAAAGCAACACTGACAGAGTCAGAACACGTACTGACACCCTGTTGGTCAGGGTGTTGGTAGCAGTCCAACTGCAGTGTCAGGTGTGGTTCTGTTTTAGCAGTGATCCTGGAGAAGGGTGTAGTCTTCTTCTGAAGATCCAGTGGAAAAGTCAGCTGTTCCTCTGGGAATCCAGTGGAAAGGTGTCCCAAAAATTTCAGATTATATCCAGTTAGGAATGCTTGGCTCCTCCCTCTGGGCGGAGCATCTCCCAATGGGATGCTGTAATTTCTATCAGTCATGCAGTGACACTCAATAGCTCATTAACAGCAGATGTCTCCCTGGAGGGAGGATTGGTTTGTGGAAGAGATAAACTGCCTAATTAACAGAAGATAACTGCCACACCTCTAACAGATGGCAAATAGAATACACACATTGCCCTGCAATCTAGGACATACGGATTTTGAATTTTCACCTTTTTGGAGATTGCCAGTTAGTAATAATGTATTAGTGCTGTTTGCATGGAGGCATTGGGTCATTACCTCTGCTTGGTGCTACAGTTCCTACTTTGGTGTCTCATAAGAATGATTTTTTTGTTAAAGTAGGCAGTTACATGAAGCAAATTCAGGATACCACAGAGAGGATGTACACCATTAGATAGTCTAGCATATTCTTTTAACCTCTCATTTTAGAACCTTAGTTCTTCTGAGTGGGTGAATTAGTGTTGTTGGATTCCTTAAAGTGGTTTGGTTTTCTTTCTCAGCTGTACTGTGCCAGAAATTAATGAAAACCTACCATTGCTTTCCGTGGTGAAAATTTGATGTCAGTAGAATCTGTCAAATTGTCCATAAGAAAATTTTATTCTAGCAAAAAAATGTGGAGAAGACTATTTTGTAATAGAGTAAAGAATGGTTTATAGTACAGTATTTTTAATATAAACACTCTACAAAAGAGTGTTTGGATTTTAGGATAAGAAGACTAGTATCTCTTTCCTAACTTAGGAAATTGTAATTGACACATCTGAAGTCATGAAAAGGATTAGGCCAGCTGTGTGTAAGCATATACAAGACGAGTGGTTGAATGTGTTCTCAAGGGTATCATCTTTTTGAAATCTGATCTCCAAAACTGAAATGGCTGACGTGGTTGCTACTCTGAAACGTTATATTCGTGAATCAGATGAGGCTGTAGGTAGAGGTGCAAGTTTTGCTGAAGGTCTGTTTTATTTTGAGAACTCTGCAATACATTCTTCTGGGGGAAAATTAGTCTGGAAACTTTTCAAATTCATTTCAGAACATGTTTGATTTGCAAATTTTCTCCTAATACCTTTGCAATATTCTTGTCTATAATGATTTCATGTTTGAAAAGTTGTGGAAATGGGGCTCTCTGTGACCATGCTCTGATCTGGCTTTTGTTTGTTAAATCTTTGAGCCAGTATTCTAAGAGTATCTGAAAAGCCAGCCTTTTACATACAGGGGTAAACATTTAGATTTCAGAAGTGCTCAGCACCTAATTGCTGAGAGATGTACAGCTTTTCTAAGCTCTGTACCCTTTGCAGATGCCGGTGTGTATACTGTGCTCTGCAGCAATGGATGCACCTTGCTTCTTAATGCATATGCATTATCCTGTTAAAGCATCACTGAATGTAGTGGATTTCAGAAATCTGTAGTTTTAGGGCATTCTTTACTTTTGGCTCTCAGTTTAATAAAAAGTTAGCTATGTACCTTTATGTTAACTGTAAAAAATATAATTTTTTTTTTCCTGAAATTACTGTTTTCAGCATAAAGCACACTGAAATTGGCTTCTAATAAAGCATTTTGAGTTTCCACTTGAATAGTTTTTACAGTCTTATCTGAGCATCAGTTACATGCATAACAGTTTGAAACAGAATTGTTTTAAAATCTAAGGGATCATCCTCTACTGCTGTGTTGAGGGGCAGAAGTGAGGGACTCAGCAGTGTGGATCAGCATATTAGAAAGTGAGCAACTGGGAGATAAGACTCCTGCATTAAAATGGGAGTGAGGCAAAGCATTTGCATGTAGTTTCTTGGAAGCATTTTAACATGATTCATCATATTTTTAGATGTATGCAGATGAATTCAAGAGATGAAGCAGGTGTTGGCCCTAAGAATTTTAATACTTGGCTAGAAGAGGAGTCTTTTGAAAGTACTGATAGTTCTTTAACAAAAAAATCCTTAGTACCAGAACTACTTAACACCTGCCTTATGTTAATTACAAGGGGAACAAAATTCAGAATGGATTATGAAATAAACATAAATAATTCCAAGTGTTTTGAAACAGTACAGAATTTGGTGTTTGTGCAGGGCTGCCAATAAAGCATTTTAAAGAAAAGCACTTAGCAGTTATTATTTCCAGCCAGTTAGTAAGTTTGTGAGCTCAGGCATCAGTGCCAAGGTGAGGGGATCCTGTCTGGTTCTGCTGGAAAGCATGGGAAGCACAGAGCCCCCTGTCAGCTGGGGAGCTCAGCACAAAAAAGGTTAATTTGGATCTGAATGCTCAGGGTTGCTGGGAGTGTGGTGATGAGTCACAGGCAAGCTCTGCCTCAGACGGTGTAAACAAAGCTCACTCCTGATTTTCCTTAGTGGTGGTATCACCCTTTTTACACTACTATGGACTTGGACTTCCTAGGAGTTCCTAGTGTTTTTATTTGGCCTGGTCTCCTGAGCTGGTCTTAAATTCTGTCTGCTACTGCCACCATCAGTCCTTTCAGCTCAGCTTTCCCTTAAGCTGAATTATCTTGTACCTTGTGTTTCCAGCAGAACTTTGGAGAGTTTGTGTGGGCACAAAGTCATATTTTTTGTTCAGCCACTAAGAATTAATTTCAGTGCTCTGTTCTTCAGTGAGACCTGTGTGGAATTTTAAGAAAGTCTGTTGATAAGGAGAAGGAAAATACAAGCATTGTTAAATAGGGCAGCATCCATCTTAGATGGGAACTGTTGTATATGTGCATTCTGGGAGATAATGTCAACAAAAAATGAATAAGATTTTATTGAAATCTGCTGTTATACGTAAATGTATGCTGTTTCCCTTTAAAAAATCCAAAGAAGAGCCAAGAAACAAACATTAAGCTCCAGAAGACTTGCATAGTTTTTAAGTAAATTCAGCATAGGCAGGGAGAGTCATCAGAAAGGAAGACTGTGAACTGAAGGAAGAATTGACAGAAGGTATGCCAATCTAAGGCATATTATACTATGATGTATTCATCCCTTATTTTATATTTGTATTCTTATTTCTTAAAGCTGTTCTATGAAGACAAAGATACTACTGAAATACAAATTTTTTTCAAGTGTATAAGCTTTTTAAAATTCAGCTTGTGGAAAGGATTTAATGGTAGGTGAGGTGCCTGCAGTATATTTAAGGAAAAATAATGAAATTCTGATATTAGATTCTCATACAGTCAGTTATGAACATGATCTCATGTTTCTCCACATATGTTCATTAGGAACAGAGGTTTATATGCTGATGAACTATTAAAGACAATTTTCTTACCCCTGCATTTACTTCGCTTTTTCATTATTTCCTGCTCCAAGTACTGTCATTCATGCTGTATCAATTGCCAGAAACAAAACAGAGGAAGAGTTTGCTATTTGGTCAGCTTTTGGCAGAGATGCTGATTTTTTCAGTACTGTTTTTTGACTTGTTTTGACTCCTGTTAAGAAAAGAACTTCTTCCAGATCTCCAGTGCAGGCACACGCCTTGCTTGAATGTTTCAAGGTTTGGAATGAGAAATTTTAATCCCATTTCCAGTAGAAATTGCTGCCAGTTATTTGTACCTGGACTGTGCACTGAAGTTGAGCTGTTATGAACTATGAAATGGGACATGTGTATATGTGGAGAAAGAGTAATTAATATTTTTCAAATATCCTTAATTTCATAATTGCGGCAGCTGTTGCTTTGTTACAGTTCAGCAAAACATGAACATTGTTGAGAAATACTCTTACATCCCTTTGCAACCTCCTCCCCTTCCTGTGATCTGATTCTTACCTTTATCATCCATAATCTTGACCTCTTTGTCTAGCATCTTTAAAACAAAACAAAAAAAAATTCTTCTCTTACACTTGCTAGTTTTGGAATTTAAGGACCTTGTTAACTGCAGATGTGCGTCTAGTTAATCCAACAGTGGTTCTTGTGCCCAGCAGGTGATGGCAGAGCAGCATTGCTTGTTGAAATTCCTTGATAAAACACCTTTCTGACAACAGTTTGTTTTCTTAGCACGTCTGTGCAATGGCAGAGACGGTCTTGTCTGGTCTTTTGTGCCAGCTTATGCCAATTTAAGCTATGTAGCCGTGAGTTACCACGTATTAATTACCACATATACAAGTGAGTGACTTGTATATGTGGTAATTAACTCCACTTCATAGCAGAACATTGACAGAACTCTGGGTGTCACTTGCAATATTTGCTCTTATATTTGTGAGGAAAAATGGCATGGACTTGAGCTCCCAAACCAGGAAATGGAGCTGAAGTAATGAAATAAGACTTTCTTTAATGTGACCTCTGGGTTGTGAGAAAATGGTGTTACCTGATGATCAGAGGTCTGTAGTCCTGCTTCAGGCAGCTCCGTGTTTCTATCCTAATTTGTGAAAATGTCATTGCTGTGTTTTGGTACTTGGGAGTTCCTTACATGTTACTTAGAAATGTTACAGAACTTGCAGTTCATTAACTCATTAGTTTTTGTGGCAAGGGAGAAGAGATCCAGCCATGTTAATGCTTCTTATAATTTTTCTCCACTGTGATTTTGTGAAGCTGGAGAACTATGAAGTTTTTCAGGTTGTTTGGGAGGCTTTAGAACTGACCAAAATGGAAAGATTAGTCTTTCTATTAATACTGAGAGTGTGATTCCACTGATCTGGTAAGAAGCTGACAGTGCATTATATACGCCATAGACAATATAATTAGTTTGCTGTTTAGTTGTTTTAAAGTGAAGTAATACAGGTATAAATTATGTTGATTCCTGTACTTATTTTACAAGGGGAAATGTGCTTACATAGGTAGTGTGGTAAGTCACCCTTAACATTTCTATGCTTTTTCAAATGCTTGTGCTGTGAGGCTTTTTTGAGGGTGTGAACTCTTTCTATGGGAGTTGCAAGTAGAGCATGCACTAAAATGAAGTTCCCACATTTGCAGCTTGCCAAGGTGCTGTCTGCATTAAAATGGGCTGGGCCCCGTAATTTTCAGGACTGGGAGTGAGGATGAGTAGAAGCAAAAGAGTTTCTGTGCGCAGAAGCAAAAGCTGGCAAATACCTTTCAGTGTATTGGTGAGAAGCAGCATTTTGTGCTGATGGAACTCGTAATGTTGCCCATGGAGCTCTGCTTTGCCATTCCTCTTTAACACTGTGTTCTTCTAGTCCCGTGATGATGATCTACATCCAGGTTACTGTATGGTGCTCTGTCTCCTGTGTCATCTGGAGGGGTTCGTGGGTAGCTGTGCAATGTGCTGCTGCCACTGCTGTGCTGTTGTACTGTTCAGGGCACACCTCCAGTTGTGGCCAAGGATTCTGCTCAAACTTAGGGTAAAAAGAATATTTCAGTGCAGTTGAGAGGTTAATTATGTGAAATACCACACTACTTATTAGAAACCAAGGAAAGCGAATCATGTTCAGTCTCACTTTTGTAGCCCTAGAGGCAGAATCGGGTCTGTCACTTTCTGGCACAGCAAAGAGAAGATTTTTCTGGGACTGCAGACTGGTTTTTGCCCTTAGCCTCTGCAGTTGCAAGCAGTAACTGAAACTGCAAAATGTCAGAAAATCATCTTGTGCCTTTGGACTTCTGTCAGGCTCTCTTTCATTGTGAAACAGTACAGTCCTGAGGACTCTCTATTTGCGTCTCACTGGTTTTTAGACAGGGATATCAAGGAACTGAAGTGGCAGTTGGTTACTGTTGGTAGATGATCAGGTCTTTTGAGTTGGTTACAATTTCTAAACATCAAGCTCTGCAGGTTGGCTGACCTTATGTATTGGAAAGACTCATAGCTATTCGATTTTATGCTGCACTTTTACAAAAGCCTAAGAAGGTACTGATGTAATGTGAAGGTATGTGCCTTGTAGAAGATATTACGCAATTTCTGTTACTGTTGGAGCAAACACAGTGCTAAATGGAGCTTAGAAATATTGCTCATGTTAAGGAGAGGGTTGGTAGGGAGAGTTTGCAGCCTTAGGTTCTGCAAGGAATGTTTGCTGTGGTTTGCTCTGTGCTGGGCTCCTTCTAGGCTTCCTAAGAACCTCAGTTGCTCCTTTGTAGCTAAAAAGGGTGAGCAACATGTGAACAGACTCGGATCTCATAAATGAGGCTGCTGACAGGATGTTTTCAGGTTGTTATGGAGAAATTTTTCAAGCTTTTCAGCAGTTGCCCAGTACATGATTGCTTTTGTTTTTATGGATTCACAGGTTTAGTCTATTCTTGGCATAATCAGATGTGTAAAATGGGGTACTAGGTATATGCTTTAATTGAGATTCCTTATAAATTTGAACACATCAGATGAAGAGGTGCTGCAGAACCTGAATTCACTTTAATTTCTCTGACAAATAAAAAGCTGTGTGCAAGTTGTGGCTACAGGTGTACCTGTCTGAGATGGAGTGGAAAAATGACCTTAGGCCTGTCAGAGGGATGTTTTGAGTAGGTGAGAGATAACTGTTTACCAGTAAGACTGTTAACCTGCTTACCTTGACTTATATCCCAGGAGATCTCGTGTTGGCTGTGCTGAAGAAGCACTAGTTTTGCGAATAAGGTGAATATAATTGTCTCTCTGGCATATTATGTTAGTCCAGTGTAAACATAATGCTGTCTCCTTCAGAGAACACTTGGTCTCTTCCTCAGATTCTTCATATCTGGTATTTGTAAGAGCTGACTAAGAACTAGCTAAGCATCCTCAATCCTTCAAAATGTTGTGTCAGCATGTGGTATTCAGTGAGTCACAAGGCTAATAACTGTATTATGGCAGGTGCAGGGAGGAAAAAAGGTAAGTCTTATTTAAAATAAAATTGTGTTTGTCTTCAGAATTTCATGTTATCTATATAGGTGTTTAATAGTTAAAATAAAGTAGGAGAAAAATTTGTAGGAAAGCAATGAAATGTGCCTTGTGTTTAACTGCAAAGGGTTTACTGAAGCCTTTCTGAGAATAAGTCTGGGGTTGTTTTTCATTTCAGTTGATGCTGATGAGATAAAAAGACTAGGAAAGAGATTTAAGAAGCTTGATTTGGACAACTCTGGTTCTCTGAGCGTGGAAGAGTTCATGTCTTTACCTGAATTGCAACAGAACCCGTTAGTACAGCGAGTAATAGATATATTTGACACAGATGGCAATGGAGAAGTGGATTTTAAAGGTAAGGCACAGTGTTCTGTGACAGGTGGTGGTACTTCAGAATTCCTAGAGTTTTAGAATTCCAGTTTTTCTTCATCTAAGAGAGGAGAGGTGAAGAAGACGTGTTAAAATAAGGTGCTAAATCCTAGTGGAACTAAATACCGGTAAAACTAGTTTCTCTGTATTAGGGCACTTCTGAGTGAAATGGTTAAAAGACCAGATTGTTTAGTAGTAGCTTTTAAGGTCTGGCTGGCTGAGGACTACTCATTAAATATCTCTTAAAGTATACCAATTTAGACTCTTAATTTTGATGCTGAGGAGAGACTGAAGAAAGTGTGGTAGGCTAAGTGGTGTGTTTCTGCATAAGTTGTATTTGTCCAAATGAAATCTCTTCTTTCAAGTATTTAGAAAATAGGAAGGAGCCCAGGTTTTTCTCTTGATACTTCTTTTATGGGGTTATTTTTAGGTAGATCTTAGATTGACACTTGAAACAAAAAAAAAAGAAAATCCAAACAACACAGAAGATTTGATTTAGTACATTTCTCAAAATTTTAGATAAATTTTAAATATTCATGATTAAAAGGGCCATGATTAAAATCTTTCTCACTAGTTCATCTTAAAACAGTGTCTGAAATTATAATGTTTGTAACTTCTGTTCAAGGTAAAACTTAGTATTTCTTATGACTAGAGAAGGTTACTCTTGCATTTTTTTTTTAATTGGAGAAAGTACTTAAATCTTATTATACTGACAGACTGACACTTTAAATAAGATATTAATATGCAAGAATTGGTAACCTCGGCAAAGCCCATTAAATGTCTATAGGGATAGCTACAGTATAACCAGAATGTTGAGTTTTGATCAGAAGCAGTAATTGTTGCATGGAACTATTCAAAATTCCCTTGTAAAAAATAGATAGTCATGAGCAATGATCATCATGTTGTCTGTGACATTGAGCTGTGATTAATACATCAGGAGTTGTTCCTCTTGGAAGGAAACAGGAAGTTGGCAAAAACAATTTTCTTTTATAGAAAAATATTATTATAGTATTTCTTCAAAAGCAGTTTTCAGTTTCAGTGTAATTCTTTACATTGAGAAACCAGTATTGAGAGGAGTTGTACAATTAGAATCTCAACTGGAGTAGCTTTAGTAAAGATCTTAGAGTTTTCTGTCAAGGTCTTGTGAAGGTCCAAAACAAAATTACTTAAATTCTGGTGTGACATAGTCTGTTTAGTGATGCTGCATTGGATTTGGGGTTCCTCCCACTGAAGAACATTAAATATTAAACTACACAGACATTTAGGTGTCACAAGGTAGGCAATATTTTAAAGACTAGACAGCTTTTACAATTTCTAAAATTTTCTGAATGTTGACTTCTTTGTTTATTAAAAAATGTGCTTTGTTATACATGTTTTCCTTGCATTGTTTAGAATTTATAGAAGGAGTCTCCCAGTTCAGTGTCAAAGGAGATAAAGAACAGAAGTTGAGGTGTAAGTATTTTGATTTTCCTTAACAAAAATTTTCTCATCCTCAAAAATACACTTTTGTAGGTTAAGATTAAGAAATTTGCAAATTCAAATTGTTGTAAAGAGAGGAAAATAATGAAAGTAGATTGTAAGCTTTTTGCACATTTTGTCCTTTATTTGTTGTGAAGATTGTTAGCACTTTTTTCTGCAGGGAAGGTTGGAGGAGGTTGGTTGATTTCTGAAGAATTTCAGTTGCTTTCTGTTTTTTTATAGAAACTAAATTCATTTAAGAATGGCTTGCTATATAGTTCTGTAAACTTAGAGGGCCTGAGAATAATACTGAATTATTTGCTCTTACAGTAGGGAAAGCATTAAATTCTTGTTTCAGAACTGCATCTCCAGACTCTAGCTTTATGAGTAGAAGAGTTCAGTTACGGATGTAGCTTCCAATAACTAAGACTGAAATATTTAAAAATAAATTCAGTCTTGACGCCAAGTTGTTTGCAGCAAAGTAACCAGATGGGATTTTAAGTCATCTGTTTCCTGGAAGGTTGTATTTTTTTTGCTGGCTGGGTGCTTTACTTGTGGGGAAGATTTTCTTTTTTGGTGTTCACAGAATGCTTTTACTGCTGCTGCTAGAACAATTTCAGGTGTTTTCTAAAGTGAGTATATATTGTTTTCAACAACAATTGCTATCAAATGGTTGGTTTTTTTTTTTTTTTTTTACTTCTGCAGTTGCATTTCGCATTTATGATATGGACAAAGATGGCTATATCTCAAATGGAGAGCTCTTCCAGGTGCTGAAGATGATGGTTGGGAACAATCTCAAAGACACTCAGTTACAGCAAATTGTAGATAAAACCATAATTAATGCAGATAAGGATGGTGATGGAAGAATATCCTTTGAAGAATTTTGTGCTGTAAGTAACTTCTAAAGAAAAATTGAGTCATTTACAGAGAGAGAAAAAAATATCTCTCAAGTGCTGCTCTGGAAAAAGAGTAAACAGTTAAAAGATGCATTTTTAGGAACTTAGAGGCTTACTGAACAGAATGCTTATAATGTAGCATTTAACACTTGAAGGGGTTGATTTCATCCCATGGGATATATTTGTTTAATTAGTTGACAGCAAGTTTTAAATTCTTTCCTCAAAAAAAGTAGATGACACATTGAATCTTGATCCTTTGAAAGTTGCAATAATGAGTGTTTACTCATTGATTTTAAATGGTACATTAAGGAAGATACACTTGATAGCATGGTTTGGGCATTGCTTTTTTCCCCTAATCTTCAAATTTACAACTTCAGTTCAAACATAACTTGTTCAACTTAAAAAAATATTTGAGTTCTAAAAAAAAGAGGGGGAGGGAGGGTGGTGGAAATCTGCCATGCTGCCAATTACTAAAGTGAAAAGGTACTATTGTTTGCATTTTGGGGATTTTTTTTTAAGTTTAATTATTTTTGTGACATCATGTAAAAAACATTTTGTCTGCAAAGAAGTTAGAGCTACAGCCTGCAAATGCCTGGATTAAATACTGCATTACTTGTTTATTTCTTGTACTGGGCTGTCATCTTCCAGCCATCCATCAAATGTGATGTTGCCTCTTCTTTTGTCTTTGGGCTTCTTGCCCAGGCTTCTTTCCGTGTGCTACTGATGGATTTTCCTCTTCTTTACTTTTATTTTCTTGAGTTTTTGTTGACCTCATGGCAGGACACTTTTCAGTTCTACAACATGTTATTCTTCATTCTTGCATTTTACCCTCTCTGAATCTGGTGCCGTGTATCTACAAAAATGCTTTTTAATTTGTTGTCTTTGGCACATACCATTTGGCCTTTGAATTTTGTTCCTGCATTATAAAATGTTCCTCTGACATGGCACCTTTCCTTTTCCTGTGAACACTGGTAATTCTTTCCTGGGTGTATGTTCTGTCAGAAATCCTGCTGCTGTTTCTGAAGTACTTTCCTTTTCCTGGGAAGGTTCCCAGTTTTACAGGGTGTTTCGGAAGTCACCATTTTATTTAACATGCACAAACATACTACAAGGTCATAGTATGAGATGGAGAGGAATGCCAGAATGGTGTTATTTGCACTGGTTTTCAGGCCCTTGAGTGTGTAAATTGTGCTAATTGTACTGAACTACCTTGGTTTGTACATAATTAATTTCATCTCTCACAGTACTTGTAAAATGTAAATCAGTTTGGAGAGGCCAGGGAAATACTGTCTTTATGATTGACCGCAGTGCATCTATTGAATGTTTTCTTTGCACTTTGCTAATTTTCATTTCTCATCTTTCTGAACCTTATTTTTCTCCCAGGTTGTAGGAGGCCTAGATATCCACAAAAAGATGGTCGTAGATGTGTGACTCTGTAGGGCACCACCCAACACTTTTGCTTTCTTCTCCATCTCTGAAGATCTGCTCCAGACGTCCAGCAATGCTCTCTGTGTATTTAAATGGAAGTATTTTTCTCTGTGAAGCCACATTTTCCAACATGAGCCTCATGAAGCCAACTAAGTGTTATTGAACTTTTATTCTCTCAATAACTCAGTGTAGCACTTTAAAGTCTGAAGGACAGCAAAGATGGAAAGAGCATATCAATGTGGCGGAGAAAGGGAAGGGGTTGGCTTTTTAATTTATTTTTCTTCATCTTTTATAACAAGGAAATATCTATCTATATATATATATGTGTGTGTGTATTTATATATAGATATATATGTAGCTTTCTATATGTAGTAGCTAGGTGGGCTTTAATTTAATATACTTGACTCAGAAACAAAACTAGAGTACAAAGTGCCAAGCAGAATATTAACAGTTCAATATGTGGATATACATCCTTACTTTTATTTCACACAGTTTTATATATATAGTAGAAGAATGTAAAGTTTTAACTGGGTCTTAGGTCAACTCTTTTCCTTTTCCTGTGACTGTTCAGATGTTTCTATATATTGAATGGCTGACAAAGCATTGCTTCTTATTAAATCACCTTAATTACTTTTTTTTTGTAACACGGGAGACTAAGTTTATTTATACCTGTTAATATATTACCAGGGACTGTGTCTCTTTGCTAAATAACTTAGTACAGTTCTACTTAATATGAGAATATAGTTTAATGCTACTGCCAAGAACTAGTCCTCGTGTGCATATAGTGACTGCGGAATGCTTTGATGGCTGTTAGATTCCGTCACCCAGGAATTGGGAGCAGCTACAGCTGTCCTGAAGCCAAGACAACTCTGCTGTTCTGGGTTCAATTTAGATACAGCTGCTTAAGGTGGTAGATGCATATATGATTTTCTCTTGTGCTTAGCTTAATGAAATTAGGATCAACATAACTGTGCAGGATTCCCATCTACTTATTTTATACAGTACTTAGATTATAAAATATTCTTGCCACTTAAATTCTGTTGTTTCACCCATGATAGTTTTCCCCCTTGCATTTAAAAATACTACAGGTAGCTAAATAACTGGTAATATTTTATATATATATGTATATATGATTCATACAGGGGGGGAATCTTGTTAACCTATGCCATAGAGGAGGAAAACTTCACACTATCTAAATTTATACCTCTTGCAGTTCTCCAGTCCTTTTCCTGGAGAATTTTTTTCTTTTCTAGATTTGTCCATATCATAATTTGTAATGGAAGGTAACTTGATCTGTTTGTGTGATATAAAAGTAGCGAGCCATGTTTTACAACTTTATATCATCCCTTCCCTTTTCTGCAGTGGTACTATTGGCTGGAAGAAAAACATTTGCTAGATTTTTTAGGACAGTACATCTTTCCTGTATAGTAGTTTTTCTATTTAAAAAAAAAATTGTTTTATAATGAGCAGTGGAAAGTGCAGGTTGTCTGAACCTCTTCAATCGAGCACCTGTCTGCCATAGCTGTTCCTTCAACTGAGTGCTGCACATCATGGGCTCTGTCTGTGAGAGAGAAATCCAGGTGCTTAGTGTCCTTGCATGACATGAAGTTTTGCATGTAGATCGATTTGAAATGTTCCTCTTGTTTACATAATTTGCATAATTAAAAAGATAATGTTGCCAAACTTTGGTAAATGTTAATGTTCAAAACAAAAATCTCCACTACATGTAACTTTTTTCTTCTTCTGGATCAGTACGTGGTTTATAATCCCAGCCAGTGGTTGTATCTGTTCCAGTGTCAACTGCCATGTGCTCTGCTTCAGGGGGGGAATTAGTCTTTTGTGAATTTTTTGTACATAAGTATTTGTTACAAACATTTTAGCAAATGCTTTCAGTTTTTCTTGCTTGTGCATATCTTGGCTGGCATTATAGAATTTAGTGCTAATGTTATTTCCTTAGGGGGACTGGAAGGGGAGGGATGAGGTTTTTTTTCAGTTTGTGTGGGGAAAAATGATTTATGTTGAATGTTTAGTTTTTCCTCTGCATGCTACATCATATATTGTGGGAACTATAAGAACCTTCATACTGTATGAATACAAAATAAAATATTTGAACCTTAGCTGGCATGCTCAGCACCTTTCCTGTTCACCTTAAAGCAGCTCTGCACCTTGCTCTGAAGAAAACTTGTTCATATTTTTTGTCCACTCCTTGATTATTAAGATTTACTGAAAAACTCCACAGGGTGTAGTCTGCTGAAAACGTCCAGGGCTCATTTCAGCATTTCAAGACATGTTGAGGTTGTTTAATGGCACATCTGGTTCTCTTTGCTGAACGTTCCAAGTGGATAACATACTTCATTTGAAATCCCTGTGGAAAGTGGTTTTAAAAAACAAACCAACCCCCCCTAACATTAATGTAGGTAGAGAATAAAAGGCAGTTCATGTCTCAGGAAATGTCTGAGCTTTATATTGACACCAGTCCTCCTTGCACAGGTATGCCCTTCACAGCAGCTCTTGTGCTGTGCTCTTTGGGGTGCAGGTGTTTGGACCTTGTGTGTGCTGCCCTCTCCCTTCTGCTGCTTTGGGTCAGTGTCAGTATGTACCTAATTTAGGATAAACATCCGTTTTTGCGCTCTTGACTCACTCTCCTTTATCTTCCAAGCTAATTGAAATAAATGACATAAGCAGCCAAGGAACAGAAAACGTAGTGAGCAGGTACGTGTGCCTGGAGCTGCTCAGAATGCACACACTGTCCCCTGCATCGCTCAGACTGCTAAACTGTGTGCTGAGGTAACTCCAGCAGGTCTTAAATCTATTCACAACTGAAGGCTCCAGTCAGTTTGGCTGTAGTGATAATCCCATACTGTGAAGCACTATTCTGGAAACTTGGACATTGACCTAAATGCTTACTCAATTTGTTTGTGTGTTTGATAATCATATTTCAGTTTGTTTTCACTCCCAAACCTGATCTGATTTATTTTGAAAGACATTTTGCAGAAGATGGCCTGGCAGGTTTAGGAGAAGAGTGTCCATTATTAAGTCATGCTGGGACTGGGCACTCTAATTTCTCCCCCTACTTTTGTTGCATTATGCTACTTACATAACATTTTAAGGAGACACAGGTGTTTTGGTACACTGGTGTTTTGGTACACTGGAAAGTACATCACCTGGTGGCTCTTGGCTTCACTAGGCTGTCCTTACAGAACATTTTTAGGAATTAAGAAATCTATACGTGTGCAGATTCAGGATTCAGTTCAAATATGTTATTTACCCCTTCATCTTACTCTTTTCATGTGATGCATTGTTCCAGCAGCAGCACAGACTCAGTGGACAGCCCACCATTGAACTCTGCATTCCAGCTGACTCCTTTCAGGAAGATACTAAACCATGATGTGTGCTTATAAATGCTTAGCTCTGCCAATTCCTTTAGGCTCAAAACATCAAACACCAAGGCTTTCTGAAGAAGTAGCCTCTTAAGTTTGATATTCAGGAAATCCGTAATGAAGCAGGTTTTTCTTTGAGGCTGTTCAAATAAAATCATGGACTTTTGATATAGACACAATTTAAAACCCCTTTTAATGACTAGACACAAACATTAGGTCTGTTCAAATCAGACCACATGTCCAAAGTCAGTCAGAGTGCACAAACAGTTGTGGTTTTCTTCTGGGCTTCCAAATCCAGCAGAAACCTGATGGCTTCTGTAGCTCTTGGCTTCTCCTGTGTCCAGGAACCTGGACTTCTGGCCCCAGTCCTTGGTGGTGCAGCTCAGAACCTCTCAGCTGCTCTGCTGGCCACCGCCCTAATATTGCCATAAACTTTGGATGGAGGACTTCCTGCAGAAGAAGGCACAAATCTAGTCAGGAAACTGCCACAAAAAATGGATGTGTTGTCCTCACACCTGTGTTAAAATTGGAGAACTAAGCCAAAGGGTGAGAAGGATGGGCAAGGTCAGTCACCATCTTACTGCAACTGCAGAGCTCAACTTCTGCTTCCAAAGCGGGTTGCTCCCTTTGGCTTTTGAGACCCCTTAGGGAATGCTGCAGCTAAATCAAAATGCAGAACATCTTTCTGCAATGTGGTGAGGGTTTTGGAGCCAGAAAGCAAGTCCTGGATTCCCTGCTTCTCCTCTTAAGAGTCACAAGCCAACTGCCAGCAAGCTATTTGCTCCAAATGGAGATGTGGGCAGGACAGGGAAGAGGGTGAGAGTCACAAAGCAGTTTCTCAAACTGCAAGATTCATATGTAGTGAAGATTAGATAAGAGGACTTACCTAAAATTAGGTTGCAAATCGCTGTTCGTGCCATTTTAATGTTCTGAAAAGATCCCAAAATATGAACTTTTCTGTAAAAAGAAAAGTAGCAGTAGTTAACAGAAAGTAACTTAAGAGATTGCACAGTTAATAGAGAATTGGAGGTTAGAGGTAAATGTGGAATTTTGTATCAGTGTAATAGTTTATTTTCTACACTTGTTAAAAAAAAAACCCAGGTGAAACCCACAAAACCTACAACATAAGATTTGTGCTCTTCTAAATGCTTTTAAAATAGATTTTACCACTTGCAAATTTAATAGTGTAGCAGCTTCGGGAGGAAAACATTGCTGTGTTGGTGAGTTCCATTTTGATTATTCATAAGAAGGAATTCTTGTGCTTTGGGGATTGACTGAATTCTAGTGCGCTGGTGACACTATCATTCTCATAACAAAAGGTCAAATAACTTGTGTTCATTAAAATATTCTCTTAAATATTTTTTCTGGCATAGGACATGGATTAGCTGAGGGGTTGTGCTTTGCCTAGGAGGAAGTCAGTCTGTACTTACGTGTCAGCAAGAACGATGCGTGTCCTGGTCACATTTTCTATGGTGAATTTGGTTTTTCCACCTTTCCCTGCTATTCTCCCTATTGCTCTTGACAGATGATCTCCTTTCAAAGGTTTGACTGAAATGAGAATAGCATGCTCAGGGTAACAGCAGTGGTGTGTATTCCTGTTAATGCTTCCCTTGGTCAAGTTGCTGGAAACAACTCATGCCAAGTACTACCAAAGCAGCTTCACTGGTCAACACAGATCCACCTGGATTTCAGCTTTTTTTTGACTAGTAGTGCACACTGCAGCCAATGCTGACACAGGGTTTCTGGAACTCAAAAGTCTCCTTTAGAAGTGCAGAGGAAGGCACTGCACTTCATGTTGAGGAAATGGAGTCCAAGGGCACCAAGTTAACACTGGTAGAAATGAAGTAGATCAGGTTTAGATCCTGCTCTGCAGGGGACTCCAAGGAGTCCCAGTACTACATAAAATTAGATGTTTCTGACTTTGCTGATCTGTGAGGTCAAAGTGATAAAAGTGGAGCAGGGGAAAAGAAAAATCCATAGTAGCAGGATGCACACATGACTTCTTGAATGCTGCATCAGAAAATACTCACCGTCTGTAACTTCAAATGACTCTAGAAAAAGATCGTCTAATCTGATGAGAGCAAGGGCATCCTGAAAGAGCAGGAGATCTGTTATCAGCAGTTATTTTGTGCTAGTAACACAGCAGAAAGCTGCTGTTCTCTTTCTACACACAACCTAGCAAATAACAACTAAAGTTAAATCCACTTTTTTTAACAGCAGTACAAGTATTTCCATCTAGAGAACCCTACACAGGTTTGGATGCCCATGCATTCAGCCCTGCCTCCCCAGTGCTAGTGAATCCAGTACAGGCCTAGAGCAAGGAGCACCCCTTACCACACTGAAAGAAGTGGGTTTGTTTTCTCCAACAGGCCCAGTCCTATTTAGTATCTACTGATGATCTGGATGAGGGGATTGAGTCCATCTTTAGCAAATTTGCAGTTGACACCAAACTGCAAGTGGAAGTGGTGATCTGCTGGAGGCTATGAAGGCTCTGCAGAGGGACCTGGACAGGGTGGATAGATGGGCCAAATCCATTAATAAAAGGTTAAGTCCATGTGCCGGGTCCTGCACTTAGGCCACAACAATCCCCTCCAGAGCTACAGGCTGGGGACAGAACGGCTGGACAGCAACCAGGCAGAAAGGGACCTGAGGGTTCAGCTGACGGCTGAACACAAGCCAGGAGTGTACCCACACGGCCAACGGCATCCTGGCCTGTATCAGGAACAGTGTGGCCAGTAGGACCGGGGAAGTCATTCTTCTTCTGTACTTGGCATTGCTTAGGTCACACTTTGAGTATTACGTCCAGTACTGTTTTACCCCAATTTAAGAAGGACTTTTAGATGCTCAAATGTGCCCAGAGAAGGACAGCAAGGCTGATGAAGGGTCTGGAACAAAAGTCCTATGAGAAGTGGTTGAGGGAGCTGGAGGGGCTCAGCCTGGAGAAAAGGAGGCTCATGTACACCTCATCACTCTCTACAGCTGCCTGAAAGGAGGCTGTAGCCAGGTGCAGGTTGGTCTCGCCTCCCAGGCAACCAGCCAAGAGAACACAGTCTTAAGCTGCACCAGGGGAAGTTTAGGCTGGATATTAGGAAGAAGTTCTTCACAGAAGGAGTGACTGGGCACCGGAATGGGCTTCCCAGGGAGCTGGTAGAGTCACCATCCCTGGAGCTGTTTAAAAAATGACTGGATGTGGCACTCAGTGCCATGGTTTAGTTGATAGTCATAGGTTGGACTTGATGATCACAAAGGTCTTTTCTGCCCTAGTTAATTCTGTGATTCGGTGAGTTTTGTACAGACTGGAGGTTACTGGCTTGGGCTGAAGAAAAATGAGCAGTCTCTACCAGTGCAGAGGACCTCAGAGATTATTACTTTATGCTTGTCTCACACAACCTATGTTCTCTATTTATGTGCTGTTTGAAGGCTACTTTTTTATCCGGCATTATCTTAAGAAACTGGATGTCGACTCCAGTCACAATTTCTAGAAAACACTGATTTCTAGAAAACCACCTAAGGATTTTTCTCTCTTTATTTCTTACTGTAATTTGCAGAGAGGCCAGGGACAGATCAGTAAACTGGAGCAATCTTACAATCTGGCTGTTGGGAGACTCACCTCTACTTGAAATCCAAGTATAAAGGCTTTCACAAAATCAGCTGCTTTTGTCAGAGCACTGAGATCCTTTGTCTCTTGACAAGTCTGCAAGACAAGAAGTTATGTTTGCAAATTAAGACCAGGCAAGTTAGGAGCAGAACTTAAAAGATAAGCCTGTGCTTGGAGAGGGCAGAAGAGAAAAGCTGCTGAAAATCCACACCACCACTAAGTTTTTCTCTCTTTATTTCTTACTGTAATTTGCAGAGAGGCCAGGGACAGATCAGTAAACTGGAGCAATCTTACAATCTGGCTGTTGGGAGACTCACCTCTACTTGAAATCCAAGTATAAAGGCTTTCACAAAATCAGCTGCTTTTGTCAGAGCACTGAGATCCTTTGTCTCTTGACAAGTCTGCAAGACAAGAAGTTATGTTTGCAAATTAAGACCAGGCAAGTTAGGAGCAGAACTTAAAAGATAAGCCTGTGCTTGGAGAGGGCAGAAGAGAAAAGCTGCTGAAAATCCACACCACCACTGACTAAGCAGAACCCTTTTGGTGGAGAAAACCCAAAACCAACACAGACTAAACTCCAACAGCAAACAGCAGGAAAAGGAGAAGTATGGTGACGGCAGGAGAGTTATTCAAATGACAGTATTCTAAATATGAGACTAAACTCCAACAGCAAACAGCAGGAAAAGGAGAAGTATGGTGATGGCAGGAGAGTTTAGAATTCTAATGACAGTATTCTAAATATACCTTAGCAGATGAATGAAATTAATTTTAAAGTTTTATGTTCATGATGGATATGGCCAAAATGAAATCAGCTTGATTAAGAACAAAACTACCTTGATGTCTTTTCACCAGACATCATTTCATATCAAAAGGTGCTATTAAAATCCCAGGGTTTTCTCCTGCAGTTATTGAGTGAAACTGCAGGAGTTCCTGCTCCTCCCTACCTTTCACCTGAGATTATTTCTAGGAAGTAAAGTAAATAAGGGATAATTCTGTCCTCCAATTCAAGGAGGATGGCTTCTACCATCAAATTTGTGATAACATTTCATAGTTAGGAAGCAAAATTCCTGCTGTATTTTCACTACTACATTGGAAGATCTCATATGTCAGTGTTGCTAATACAATTAGTCGTATGTCAAAACTTTAGATATGCCCTTAAAAACTCCTGGTGTGAACATTCCTCAGGAGGAATAAGGATAAAGAATGAATGTCTACAAGAATTACAGGTTTATACTGGGGTCTGTGCCATAAGGTATTCCACTGCAAACCATTAAAGAAAAATCACATGCTATTAAACTATGGGCCCTTATTGTCTGCCACAAACAAAGGCATTAGGAGATTCAGTGCCCCTTTTTAAGATCCTGTTTACTGCCAGGTCAGTATTGGGTAATGTTAAATAGCTGGAAAACACTGAATTACAAAATCTTATCTAAGACATAGATGAAAATTCTTCCTTAATGTATATAACTTTCTCCTACAAAAACTGAACAGTCCCCCAGCTTCTGCTGGCTCCTTCTGGAACAGATCTGTAGTTCTGGATTTTACTTGCAGTAACTATTTGTTCCAAGCAATGTGATCCCCGGGGAGGTGACACCACACAGTTTCCATTTTTCCAAGCATTATATGGGATTTACAACTTCTCTAGTCTTTAATCTGCGGACCAAGAACACCCATGAGGAGAGGCCCTGCTTTTCAGGAGGCAGAATCACAGAACGGTAAGGGGTTGGAGTGGACCATAAGATCTTCTAGTCCCAATGCCGGTGCCACGGGCAGGGACACCTGTCGCTAAACCAGGCTGCTCAAGGCCTTATCCAGCCTGCCTTGAGCACTGCCAGGGCCGGGGCAGCCCCGGCCAACCTGTTCCAGTATCTCACCATTCTCACAGTAAAAAAATTCTTCCCAACATCCAAACTAAACTTAGTAAATTTGTAAACGTGACTCCTTGTCCTGTCACTACAGTTCCTGACAAAGAGCCCCTCTCCAGCTTCCTTGGAGGCCCCTTCAGACACTGGAAGGTGCCTCGAGGTCTGCACACAACCTTCTCTTGCCGGGGAAGGCCCAAGAAGCTGCTCCCCTTACCTTGATCTCAACATTTCTCGTTTTCAAGTTGAACCTGATTTGAAGCTGCAGATGCTCCACAATGGGCGTGAATATCTTCATCCAGTTCTCCTTCAGCGGCGTGTACCTGTTGGCCGGCACAGGGATCTTCCTCAGCTCACCCTTCCCGACCTGCCGGGGGCGAGACACAGCAGGCCGTGAGGCGGGGGACGCCGGAGACCCGGGGGCGGCGTTTCCCCAGCGCCCCGCGTACCCCCAGCGCCTCGGCGGCCACGGGCGGGAACGCCGGCCGCTTGCTGGGCCGCGCTTCCGCCGTGTCCATGGCAGCTCCCGCCGCCGGCTCCTCGCCGCCCGCCCGCCGCTTCCTGCGGCTCCGCCGGGACACAACGCTGGTGAAGCCGCCGCCGGCCGCAGCCTCGGTCTCCATGTTGGCCGCGCAGCACACGTGGGGCGGCTCTCGCCGGAAGGGGCCGGCGGCGCTTCCGCCGCAGCCGCCGGGGCAGGGCAGGAGCGGGGCGGGATGTCGGCGGTGCTGGGTCCGGAGCGGCCGCAGGTGGTGTCGCACGTTCAGCAGGCGCTGAGCTACACCGTGTTCGATTGCAAGTGGGTGCCCCGCAGCGCCCGCCTGCTGTGCCTGGGCAGCGCCGCCCGCGGCACCGGCGTCATCCAGCTGTACGAGCTGCACGGAGCGCGTCTGGAGCTGCTGCGGGAGGTGAGCGAGTCCCCTCGGGAACGGCTGCGGGGCGCTCGTCCAGAGCCCGGGATGTAAAACAGGAGCTAAGACAGATTTGCGTGTTAAATGTGCTGATTCGCTGATGCCCTGTCGTTTCTTGGTAAGGGTAGCCTTGCCGCTCTCCACGACCCCCTGAAAGGTTGTAGCCGGGGGGGAGTCTGTCTCTTTTCCCAGGCAACTACTGACAACTTAAGCTGCTGAGGTTTCCGTTCGACATTAGGAAGAATTTCCTCACGGAAAGGGTGATTAGACACTGAAATAGGGTGCCCAGGGGGGTGTTGGAGTCACCGTTCCTGGAGGAGTTTAAGGAAAGACCGGATTTGGCACTCAGTGCCGTGGTTTAGTTGACAAGGTAGTGGCCGGTCATAGGTTGGACCCGACCACCTCAGAGATCTTCTTCAGCCTGAGGCTGTGATCCTGTGATTTTGTTTACTGCTATGTTTTATAGGTTGTTTTCCTGTGTTGTGTTATAGGTTTCTGTTTTCTGCCTGTGCTTGGATTTTTTGAGGGTATTTTTTCCGTTTGTTTGTTTGGGGTTTTTTTTGTTATTGTTTGGGTTTTAGGTTGGTTGGTTGGGTTTTTGATTGGGTTTTGGAGTTTTTTTTTCTGGCTGGTTGGTTGTTTGCTTGCTTGCTTGCTTTCTTGTTTGGTTGGTTTTTTCTCTCAGATTGACCTCTGAGTGTTCGCTTCTTCTGAGGCGAGCAGTTCCGCAGGTGCATGAGGCCCTAGGCCACAAGCAGTGTTTTCTCCCAGACCAGTAACCTGGACCCTGCTTTTCTGTGCACAAGGACGAAACTCAAAGTGCAGCTTGCCTTTGATAACATTTTGGTAGTATTTTGCACCAAATATCCCATGTGTGTTTCGCTGCCCCTTGCCCCTGTGCACTCCCGAGAACTGTGTGGCCTGTGGGTGTTTTTGCCTTCTCCGTGTGCTGACACAGACATTTCCTTTCTTTACAAGATCGAAAAGCCCAAACCTATAAAATGTGGAACTTTTGGTGCTACATCTCTGCAGCAAAGATACTTAGCTACAGGAGATTTTGATGGAAACCTTAACATATGGTAAGCACAGATATTCTCTGGAAGTGTTTTCACTTGATGCTGTCCATGTCTGTCTGAACAGAGGTTTCTGTTTGTGGATTTTGCATGAGATGCTCTCCATGCTGCCTGTGGTTGGGACCCAGTGCAAGCTTTGCTGGCTACTGTATTTGGACCATTGTAGAAACAACACAGAATTCTGCACTGTGTTTAATTCAGTGCTGCTTCACTCCCATCTTCTGTGTGCAGCTACAAAAACCTGTTAAAGTTCTGTGAGGTTGTCCTCTGAAAAGAGGCTTTTGAATGGATGCACAAGTACAAAGAAGAGGTGGTGTCCAACCTGAATTTCATGTCTAGATTAAATATATATTTTTTAATCTTCACATTTCAAATGTTTCCTCTAGGTCCCTGAATTATTGGTGTAATTAATGTCTAGGTAAATTTATTATCAAATAAAGTAGTAGTGTCAAAAGGGGATTTTTTATTATTATATTGCCCTATATCAAGGAACTACTGGTTCTTGTTGGAATAGCAAGAATTACGTGGACAGTTACTAGCTGAAATGTAAAATAAAATTCTGAAAGCTTCTTAAAGAATGGGAATCATTGGGAAAGAGCCATGAAACTCATGGCTGGAAGCAACAGTCACCTAAAGTTAGAGAGCAGTACTCAGAGCTAGGTGGGGATCAATTACTCAAGTTATTTTACAGACCTACTGAAAGTAAAGATACTTGGAGTGTCTTGATCTGTAGTGTGATTCATTTTTGAGCCCAGTGTGTAAAACTGGGTCTGAGTGGTTGCTGTGGCAAATCTCACAACTGCCTTTACAAACAGGGAGGTCCAGAAAAGAGCCAATTCTTTTGGAGTAGTCCAAAGCAGTAGCTAAAGAAAGAATCAAACAAAGACTTATGGTTCTCAGTGGTGATATCCATATTTGTTTTCACCGTTAATCTGAGCTTTTATGATTTGTGCTCAAGTTTCCTTTCATTTTTGTACAAATCCTGAGTGTCAAGGAAAAATGCCATGTTTTCTGTTCTTTTTCTCTCTTGCCTAGGAATTTAGAAGCTCCTGAAATACCAGTGTATTCTGTGAAAGGTCATAAGGAAATCATAAACAGTATAGATGGTGTAGGTGGCTTAGGAATTGGGGAAGGTGCACCAGAAATTGTGACTGGCAGTCGAGATGGTGAGTTAGTGAACTCTGCAAGTCTTCCCAGTTCCTCTGAGCCTGCAAGCTCTTGATGGCAGGGCACAGTCTGCCATCTGAACTAGTTACAAGCTGTTGCAACTAGTTCTTTGTACACTGTCTTTTGAATCTTGCTTGGGACCAATTTTCTCTAATTCTTCTAGAAGCCACAGATAAGCAAAAGGTGCTGTTGTCACTGGGCATGAGAAAGAAGGAACACAAACCATGATAAATGCAAAGTATCAGCTAGAGAAAATGCATCCTTAACAAATGCTTTCACTCTGTTTCTGTTTGGTTTTGTGGTTCTTTCTTATAGCTACAAAACACTAAGGCTTGGTAGAATTGAAAGAGTTGCTCCTGTTTTTGAATGATTAGGATGAAAAGCAAAGGGCTTTCCTGGGAAGGTGAACACAGTATGACAATGTATTCCTAATAAAAAATCTATTGTCTTCTTTCCCAGGAACTGTGAAGGTGTGGGACCCAAGGCAGAATGACACTCCTGTGGCTAATATGGAACCTGTAGAGGGGGAGAGCAAAAGAGACTGCTGGACTGTGGCATTTGGTAATTGATCAGATTATGACCATTCCTCCCTCTCACATGGCTGTGTTTTTATGGTTGTCAGTGTATTTCAGGATGTTATGGAATACTTTATTTTGTATGCATGCATAAGTAGCAGGTTTTGCTTTTCCACACTGTTAAATTTATGTGTGGGGTTTTTTCTTCAAAATAAACCAGTTTTGTGGGTTTGTGATAGTTAGGTTGTAGACTCATTCTCTAATCACTTTTGGTCACTGTCTGTAGTTGGACTTGATCATCTTGAAGGTCTTTTCCAACCTAAATGCTTTGATGTTTCTGTGGTTTCACAGATAAGCTGTGCAAGTTCTATTTAAGTGCCTAGAAATGTAAAAACAGTATATCTAGCTGTGTGGTCTGGAAGGGATGTAAATGTTGCCATGTACAGGGAACTCATCACTGTTGTAGTGTAGTTGCAGCTACCAAGCATTAAGGAGTTAATTTAAGAGAAGTCCCTTGAAGCTTAAGAGCTAATTAAAGAGAACAGCAATGCTTGATGTGAGCTCTGCATTTTTCTTTGGAGAGAGCAAAGTTGCTTGTGTCCTACACAAGATTTTTCTAGACCCTTCAGGTTTGAAAACCATCCAGTACACCACATCTGTTGTATAAATGGAAGTTGAAACTGCAGGCCTGGGACTTTTACAGGCTAAATTTACAGGTGAAATTTACATGCTAAATTTACAGGTGAAATTTACAGGCTAAAGAGATTTTGTGTTTTCTGGTTAATTTTCTCTCTGTGTCCAGGCAATGCTTACAATCAAGAGGAACGTGTTGTTTGTGCCGGATATGACAATGGGGACATTAAATTGTTTGACTTAAAGACCATGTCACTACGATGGGAGACCAACATTAAGAATGGGGTAAGGAAATCGTAGAAGTATTTTTCATTCCAGCTCCTATGTAGGATGGAAAAATTAAAAGGACTCTTGTCGGTGTGAAACTTACCCAGAAAATGTTTCTGCTGAGATTGTACCAAGGAATAATTTTCTTTAGGTTTGGCAAGTTGTACCCCTCACATTCTTGATCAGGACAGGATGGGGTATTTCTCAGTGGATTAATGTTTTCAGATGAACATGTTTATTTCCTGTTTGATGATGATATTATTGTGGAAATAACCAATTATTAATATATATTTACAAATCACAAAACACCCATTTTTTTTTTAACAGTGACTAAATTACAAGACTGAATTTTTCTTGTTCTGTATCCAGGTTTGCAGTGTGGAATTTGACAGAAAAGATATAAATATGAATAAGCTGGTGGCCACATCACTTGAGGGAAAATTCCATGTCTTTGATATGAGAACTCAGCATCCAACCAAAGGTTTTGCTTCTGTTTCAGAGAAGGTATGGGGAGACTGAGAATTTCTTAATAAGAGACAAACTTTCTAAATTCATGCTGTCAAATTACTACAGGTGTAGTACAAATATGTAAGAAATGCCCAGGTTACTTCATAATTTTTTTGTTTTATTTTGTTGTTTGGTTGGGGTTTTTTTTTGTTTTTTGTTGGTTTGTTTGGGTTTGTGGGTTTTGTTTTATTGTTTGTTTGTTTGCTGGTTTGTTTTATTTTGTTTTGTGAAAAAAATCTGGGGATAATTCAAGAAAAGGCATTCTTGTGGTGAAGTTCATTAGGACTTCCTTTTTTTAGAAAAGGCTGAGTTTCAACTTAGTATCTCTTAGTTTTTCCATGCTATCATTCAAAGCAGATGAGGTGTTGGAGGTACTTGATTCCGAATCACAGAATATTTTACAGAATAAAACAATACATTTTATTTATTTATTTATAAATAAATCTGTAATAAAGTGTGGAAATAGAATTTGTTGTTCATTAAGTGCATTTAAGCTTTTCCTTTTGGACATTTGCAGACAGATATACATTAAGCCAGAGGACAGGTTGGGGTTTTTGCCTAAGTGGTTTCTGTTGCTGTATGATCTTAGTGCCCTGGCTGAGGTTTGAGTTGTTGACTGTGTGTTTTGTTTACACAGTGTTTGTAATATATTCCCTTCCAGTAATGATTTTAAGAGATATCATACAGTGAAATTAACCATCCATTGTGGGAAGGCTGGGCTCTTTTCATACAAGTGATCTCCGTTTTAATATTCTGTGTCCTTTCCTATGAAGTTCATCTCCAAATGACTTCTGTACAATGCTGATTTCTTTTTATTAGGCACAGAAATCTACCATTTGGCAGGTCCGGCACCTGCCACAGAACAGAGATATATTTATGACAAGTGGAGGATCTGGGAGCCTTCATCTCTGGAAATAGTAAGTGATCACTTCTCCAGCCAGGAGTAAGAAACCATTTAATGTTTTAAGAAAGAATCTTTCTGGAAATGATCAGTGGGGTCCTGCTTTCAGCCTCAGAATATCTGGTTAAAATTACAAATGCAGTAGAAAGGGTGATTTCAGTGTCAGTACTTGATCTGGAATCTTGAATTAATCCCTAAGAGAATGTTATAGCACAGGTGAATCTTGCCCTTGTTGTCTTCATATAATGAAGATCTAATTATATCCTTGGTTAACAAGGTGATAAATGGAAAAAAATGGGTTTCTTAAAATTCTAATATGGTAGCAGTTACATCTGAGAAGAATATTGAAAGCCTTGACTTAATCATTCTTATGTTTACATTTTCTTACATTACATGGAAAAATAATTTAATAATCCTAAAAGCAATGAAGTTGTTGCATTAAGTTTCAGAAGCATAGTTTTGATTAAATTTTTCTGGCTGTGGTAAAAGCATTTAACTGGTAACCAACCAGTTAAATGAAGAGCTATAGGATAAGGGTGTCAGGATTCAAAAACTCCTACCTCCTTTTTTCTTTCATGAAATGTCTACTAAAGTATGCAGCATAGAAATAGCTGAATATGATTATTCATTACTTTTAAGACATTTGTTTGCCTTATCTGTAGAGCAGGGAATAAAGAGGATGGTGATGTGTTTGTATCAATACATTTCTAAGTAGATGTTTTTGTTTAATTTTCTCATTGGCAGTGAGTACCCAGCCCAGCGCTCGAAGAAAGATTCGGAAGGATCTGAGATGGGGGTGGCAGGGTCTCTCAGTCTCTTGCAGAATGTGACTCTGTCAACACAGCCCATCTCCAGCCTGGACTGGAGCCCTGACAAAAAGGGACTTTGTGTCTGTGGGGCTTTTGACCAAACTGTGAGGGTGCTGATAGTTACAAAGCTTAACAAAATATGACATGAAAACAAGAATTTCTGATGAGAAAGCAATATAGTTTTCAGTCTGTAAATATGGGAGGGGGAGCCCTTCTAATTTAATTTCTTCTTAAATAAAACTGGATTAAAGAAATAGAAGCCAGATTTTTGTATTGAAAGTTCAGATACGTGCAATCAGAGTTGTTTGGCTGATTGTGCTGTCATGACTTGAAGTTTCCTGGGCACAAAATTTAACTTTCTAGAAATGTGAATTTACACTGAAAATAAAATGTGCCTTTATGTTAACACAGCTCTGTAATTTCAGAGTTCACTTGGGTTTGTGTTCAGTTTATTCATAGTGCAAATCTCTTCACACTTGTTAAATGGTTTGGCTTTATTATATATAGTGTTGTCCATATGCATTCCTGCAGTGGGAACTACTACAGAAACTTGTTGTATTACTGGATTTATTAATTAGAATGTTTGTTAAAGTGACTTAGGATTCTTTACTACAATAGAGAAATGATAACAAAGGCTAAAATACTCAGGTTTAAAGGAGTAAGGTTTTTATTGAAGATCATACTGCAATTAAACTATCGAGAAAAGTGCACTGTTTTATTATTTTAGTTGGGTTTCCTATTAAGTTTATATGTTCTGTTGTTTTTATATCTGTTTTCAATTTGATATTCTACAAATAAAATTATATGTAGTGTTTTCTTAATGTGAACAAATTATATTATTCAAATATCCAGAGATTTAAATAAGTAATGTATAGAAAAACCTCACAGGCTATTAGACCCTAAACTTTCTGGAATGGAGAAATGCTTTATGCTTGTGTAGCAGAAGTGGGCAGGAGGAACATTGCAATAGACCATAAACAAAGTGTGTCTGTGAAAGTCCTTGGTTTTAGTAGGTCACTGATACTCTCCTCTACAAACTTAGGTTCTTGTATTTCAGATTTAGCAAGGGCCAGCAGGGATTAAAACACAGGCAATGTAGGCTAAATATTTTGTGGAAGACAAAGATTTAGGAGATTCACCTGTCTTCCCTAAGACTTGATGGTTTGCTTTTAAGTGTAAATATTTAGTATCTGATTTTTTTGACCCAAGTAATCCCATCTCCTTTTGTGCATGGTGTAATGTTGAGAGCATATTCTGAAACGATTTTAAATGTTGTCCTTCTTGGGGTCCTTCCAGCAGGAGGGAATAGGAGGAACCATTATCTGTACTCTTGGCTGCTTTGGGGGTGTGGAATTCAAAGAATTCAAGTGCTTTGAGTCTAAAATGCACTGTCCAAAGATGGCTTCCATTAGCTTTGTGCTGTAAATAAAATATACTCACCGAAAGGTGTGAAAGGCTGCAGAAACAGGTAGAAATACTTTTTCTCTCTTTAACAGTAACTGAGTCAAGCACAGAGTAAGGGAAGAAGAAGTTCTCAGTGTAGGTACCTGCAAGGGAAAACAAAAAACTCTTCAGCACAGGACTGGGCTCTTGGTGCTATTTTTATGTACTTGTATTGCAGCAAAAATGTCCCTTCTTTATTCAAACAATTCCAGGGAGATCTCCTAGTAGGATACAACTTAGAGCAAGAACTATTAAACAACAATCCTTAAAGCTCCATGGGCCTCAGAAATATGAAATGTGTGTTACCTCTGTGCACTTAATTTTGAAATTCATTTTATTCCTTGTTTTGTAAATGAAGGAATGTGTTCCCCTCGTAAGTAGAGGGGAACATAGTTTCCTGAAAATATGACAGTTTGCATATAAGGAGCTTGCAAAAAACTGAGAGCTGGAGAAAGCACCGATGGAAGGTGGTGTGTCCTTGTTCATTAAAGGTAAGTGGCTGTACCTGTGTACCTACAAAATGAAAGACAGTTACTGGCTGGAGAGAAGAGCTGCTGCCTGTGCCTGTACTGTGCATTATCTCCTCAGCAGATTGGATTTCTGCTTCTTCCAGGCTAAACCAGAAAAAGCTGTCTGTGGCAGTCCAGCCTGCTCTATTTATAGTCCTTCTCCTTCTTGCTGAAGCGTGGCACCTTGCCTCTGCAGCCTGCAGAGCTGAAGTGTGTTCTAAATAAAATCATAATGCATCTGAGATGTCATGCCCAGACCAAATGCTCTCTGACGCAGCTCTGAGGAGTGCTCTGGAAAACCCCTGCCTCGCCCAAGGCCAGGAAATGGAATGTGCTCCCAAATTTGGAGTGGCTGCATTTAACAAGTGTATCTGCCTGGCAGCTCTTGCTTGTTTCCTGTGCAAACCATCCCTGTGTGCTCATGGAAGAAAAAATCTGTTTACAGGCATGACTGCAGCCCATGTACAGGGACATGTTATGTGTTTTTTGGGTTTGTGCTTTGTGGTTTTTTTTAAGGAGATGCTGCCCAAATCCCCAACAATCAGGTTTGGGTCTTCTGTTTCACATCAGTATAGTTCTTTTGAATTTCACCATTTGTACAGGTCCTTGGAGATTACAGGCCTTCAAGGTTTCTGTGCATGGAGTCAGTATTTTCATACAATATATAATTTTCATCACAAAAAAAAAGGTAATTTACAGTTGAGGCATGACTTGGACCAAATTTTAAGCAATGTAAGGCAAGTTGTAACTCTGTATGGGAAGCTGCAATGCTGTGCTCTCACCTCTTCACAACCACTGATTCTGTTAGGGACATCATGGAATTGGTACAAAGAAGGAAGATTGGGAATTGCACAGAAAAAGAAAGACGTGCTCTTCAGTGATTCCTTCAGACAGCAAACACAGCTTGTCAATACAGTTAGCTCATCTTCCCCAAATTATTCCTTTCAAATAGATTTGATAGGAGAGAGGGATTTTTGGTTAAGCTGACTGATCTGTAAGTAAGAGGCTTGTGGCCTGCATATTCAACTCTGTAATGAAGTTATCTAAAGTTGGTGTTGACAAAGCACCAGGAAAATACACTGATTTACTGCTTTTTTACCCCATTATTAATCCTACATTTTCTTGCTTGTGATGCTGTTACTGTTGAGTTTTCAGTAGCATTCACTTTAAACAGAACTGCCCACTCCTCAAAAATGTTCAGACCACAGTCTAGCACGTATTTAAAGCCTTTATACATGCAAAATATTTCGCAGTAGCAAACCCAAGTCCCAGTACATTGGGCAGGGGCAGCTGTTGACTCAGGCAGGAGCCAAGAGCTATATCACTTGGAGTGCAGTGCCAAGCACGGCTGTGGGACTGCCTCTGGCAGTGCAGGACCAGCCCAGAGGAAAGACCAGATGGGATTTCTGTGGAGCTGGGCCGGAGCTATTTGGCGACTTGGTGATGGTGACCAGTTCTAGCCTTGGCTGTGAAATGTTTCCATTACTTCTGGCCTTTTTGGGAGGACCTGCTTTCCACAGCACAGCCTGCCTTGGGAGGTGCACAACATTGACCCACAGAGGACACTGGAACTGGATTCGTTTCCTGATGGCTGCAAGAGTATCCAGGGCCTCAAGGGCACTGCGTAGCTGCCCCACATTCTGGTCTGTCTCCTCCTCAGCCACCAATAAGTCAATTGTCATGGAAGTTCTGTAGGATCCTGCAGGAAAGGTGACCACAGCAGGGCATCTCTTCCCAATAGTAGTCTTCAGTATTACATTCTTAGATAGTTGATCTGGGCCAACTGGCCCAATACTTTGCTGGTGTGATTCAGGACTGTAGTATGGTAGGAGCTGCTTCTAATAGGCAATATGTGTGTGGCAGCCCTGCTTTGGAGACTAGCTCAATTTCACAGTATGGCCCCACATTTTATCAATCAGTCTCTGAGCCAAAGAGTGAGCCCACTGCTGTTAGCTTAGTACAACTACAGCCTCTGGGACAGATTTCTCTTCAGAGTACTTTTCTCTTTCCAAGAGATCTCCCCCTCTCCTGCCTGTACTCCCCTGCCTCTGCAATCTTAGTTAAATCTTCTGTCACCATCTCCATGTCTGGGGATTTGCAGAGGGAGCTGAGGTGCAAAACCATGTAAGGGCACATGGAAGTTCCATCTTCTGTTATGCCTGGCAGTAAAAACAGCCTGTGCAGAATGTATGGATTTGGGATTCCCTTCCCAGAACAATGGCTCTTTCCACTCTTGTGAATGTGCAAGAGGTCACCCAAGGCTGACAGTCTCTGCTTCACACACTGACTTCCTTCTGGGTTAGCCAAAGGAGTGTTTTGATTTTCTAGAGCTTAATGATGGTGACAGAAGAGTTGAGCCTTTATAGGTGAAAATCAGGGGGGCATTCCTGGTGGGAATCTGTTACAGATCATCCATCCAGGGTGAAGAGGCAGATGAAAGACTCTATAAGCAGCTGAGAATTTCACAATTGCTAGTCCTTTTTCTTGTGGGGGGACTTCAACTTATCAGATGTCTTCTAGAAATGCAGCAGAGAGGAAACAGTTGAGCAGGTTCCTGAAGTGTGCAGCTGAACAGAGAGTGTTGTCTGGAACTTGGGAAAAAAAGACAGTTTATGACCTGTGGAAGAAGGGGCAGGAAACTCAGGAGGACAAGAATGTAATGAAGTTTTATGGAGGGAGAAAATTAGAAGGGCCAAAGCCCAGATAGAACTTAACCTGTCAAATGCCACACAATAAAAAAATCCTTAAATATATTAGCAACAAATGGAGGGCTAAGGAGAATCTCCATCCTTTTTGGAAAGGGAAGAGGAAACACAGTGACAAAGAATGAAGGTAAAGGCTAAGGTACTTATGGCCTTGTTTGCCTCAGTACTGAGCAGAATACCACAAGTCTTACAAGGAGCAGCTGAAGGAGCTGGGGTTGTCTAGCCCCAGCTCTGGAGAAAAGAAGGCCCAAGGGCGACCTTAATGCTCTGAAAGGAGCCAGATGCAGGTCGGCGTCTTCTAGGTAACAAGCAAAAGGATAAGGAAATGGCCTCAACTTGCACCAGGGAAGGTTGAGACTGGATATTTGGAAAACTTTCTTCACTGTGGCAAAGACATGGTAATCAAGCTTTGGAAAAGCCTGCCCAGAGAAGTGGTGAAGTCACCATCCCTAGTGGTATTTAAAAGGACCATGTAGATGTGGCACTTAGAGATGTGGTTTAGCGGTGGGCTTGGCAGTGCTGGGTTAACTTGATGATCTTTCCTAAGGATTCCTTTCTAAATAATAGTATGACTATATGTTCTTCAGCATGGCAATGAAGCTGTATCTTTTTCATCACTATGAAAAGTCCATCAGCAGCATAAATAAGCACAAGCAAGCTCTCCTAGGTTGCTTGTGATTTTAAGGTTATGAAACATTGAAAACATTCTCTGAAGCCAGAGGACGTGTGTGTTGCAGAGGAGCAGTAAAGCCCACAGAACTGCACAGCAATTGAGGCACGATGGGACCTCTTCATCTGACAGTGGATCAGAAATAGTAGCTCAGCCAGTTCACCAGATTACATTGTATCATTGCTCACTATTAGACTGTGTTACAGCTTTGCAGTTGAAATTACTCTTTCCTTCAAGTAAATTCCTGGTTAACTCCCTAAGTCCCAGCTGCTTTTGGAGTGTCTACTTACAGTAAAACCCACCACTGGGAAAATTCAGGTAGATGCAGCTAATGAAACCAGTTCAGTTGCCTCCCTGCTAAACCTTTCATTTTTAGGTCATCAGTTTTCCTGCAGAGATGACAGAAACCCTCCTTGTTTCTTTCTAGCACAGCTCAACCAGGTAGGACTCTGTGGCCTGTTCAGCAGATGTGAGGGACAGTCACTCCTGCCTTGCAGAAGAGTGTGATGGCACAGGCCTGTGGCATCTTTATATCCAGCAGTGTTTTCCCTGCCTGACATTTGCATTTCCTTCCTCCCACATCCTGCTGTTGCAGAGTGCATAAGGAACGTAGCAGCAGCCACACTGGATTAGGCCAAAGATTTCTATCCTGCTTCTTCAGAGGGCATGTGCAGATAAATAAATATTAAAAAACACTTTAAAATGACAACTACAATTTGGGTCCTAAGTTTAATTTACTCCTAAAGGTGTCTTAGGCTTTCTGCCAAAACAGGGTATAAAATATATGGTTTTATTGAATTTATGCACAGAAGCTAACAAGTGAGACAGGTGGAATTCTAATGCATATGAAAATAAACTTCAATTTCTAATACAATTTACTTCCAATCTTAGTGAAAGAGAGATAGCTGTAAAAAAATTACAGATTTACATACTAATTGGAAGAAATTCAATCTTAGAATAGTATCAGAACAAATATTCTACACATGATAAACTGATTTCAATTTATTTCTACAGTTTCCATCTATAAATGCATTTAATCTAATAGATATATATACATTCAGTGAATAAGGCTTTGTATGTAAAGTAACCCAGTACTTCACCACATCCTGTCATTTAATCTAGCTGGCATGAACACAAGCTCTTTTGATCTGCACCAACTATCACTATCTCAGTGTAGATCTCATACTCCCTATCTGTTATGCTAAAAAAGCTGTAATTAGAGGACTTAAGCTAGTCTTATTGAATTATATTATTTTTCCTCCCTAAACCAAAGATACATCAGTCTCAGTTTCCTTCTTTCTGTGTACTTTTGTATCTGTATTTTGATTAGAGATCCTATGTTTTCGAAAGAGAAAAGAGTCTGTGTTTAGTAGATTTAAAGTCATTATAATTTAATCTGATTGCAGAAAAAAAAGGGTATTTCCAGAGCATTTTAACTGAAAGGTGAGTCTAAGTTCACTTGGGCTCAGGCTGCCACATACGCTGCCCCTAAGTTCAGCAAAGTGTAACAGAACATGGAAAATTTTGGAGGTTACATTTCTTTTCCACTGTGCTAATGTCACTACTATAGGATTTTTAGTTGCTGAAAATGAGGATTAGCTTCAAGACTCTCTTCTCCTTCTCACCCCATCTAGCAAGTAAGAAAAACAAAACTGGCAGCCAGATAGATACCTTGGCCTCTCTTTCTGGTCTCACCATGTGCATTGCAATAAATCACTGTAAAATCTCTATCCCTGCCCTCCCTCCCTGCATACATCTGCTCTCAGCAGAATTCAGGCAGAAACATAATTTCCCATAAACAGGGCATTGAGCCAGGCAGCTGCCTGTCACTGTCCTTTTAGGAATGTCTGTCTTCTGATTTACCAGAGGAAACATTGGGTACTCACCCTTCTTCCACCAAGGAACAAGAGCACGTCGGGTGATACTGGCAAGCAGATGGATGTTTGTGCTTCAGTTTATTCCTGCTACACCCTCTTCTGGTAACTTGCTGTCTGCCCACACATGGGATTGCAGATTCATTAGATTACACTGCAAAGAAATTAGATTGCAAATTCATTGGATTAGATGCCAAGAAGTAGGCCTCACAAAAACAAAATGCCTATTCCAAAAGGCCCAAGGTGCCCTTCAGACACATGTGTACCACACACACAAACATCTCCCAAACTGGTCTGCTTGCCAGATTTTTAGTCTGATTTTAGAGTCTGTATTTTTATCCTGCCAATGGTTTATTATGCTTTTTGTTACAAGCAGCTTTCAGTAATCTTTGTTATATTCACACCAGATTCACAGCAGAAGAATCTAGGCTATATTTTTTTCACTTACATTTTCTTCTGCATGATATCTCCCAAAGCTTATTCAGTGGCATTGTTTCAGGGAGACAGAGTTGCCACGGCTGGTCTGTACGTCAGGCTGTGATGCTTTGCATGACTCAGGCTGTATAATGATTCCAGTGAGGCCAAGACTGCAGGATTTGGCCTCCACTTTGCTCCACAAAGAACACTGACTTTGCAGAAATCATTATGTTGTATCTACAGGGGATTAGATGCTTCATAATAATGCAGTAATTATTTTAAGGATGCCTGTCACTTTGACTACTTCGGCAAAAATATTCAGGATTGTTTGCTCTTGTTTCCGGAATGATAGAGGAAAAATCAATAATCATTCATGGGCCTCTCAAATGAAATGGTTTCCATTAAGTACCAGATGTCAGTACAGCTTTTTGTGGATAGACTTGTTTATAGATATCCATATATAAAATAATAATATATTTTCAGTGCACCAGCATAAACCATTTGAATTATACGACCTGTATCTCAGTCAGATTTTGGCTGGGATAAATGTGAATTCTTAACTCCTCACTCACTGCTCCTGAAAACCAAAGAGGCAGTGCAGCCATTTTAAGCAGAAAATGAATGTTTTCATACCTAATAAACTCCTGAGTGAATTGGCTCAAGAAATTCCAAGACTTGGCACTCAGTGTAGGCACTCAGTGTAGGAACTCCAGTTAACTGAACAAAAGTATAAACCTGTAGTAGTCCAGAGCCAGTGGGAGCAAATCTACAACAAATGTAAACCAGTAGAAGGAGACAGAACCACACTGTACGACCAGGGAATACAGAGCACAATCTGCACTGCATTAATGCTCTACATGGTTACAATCAGAGTTGGCTGAATCTGAACATTGATCAGCACATGTTGCATTTTCCTTTGATCCTGTAATTGAAACTAAATATTGGGTTTAGGAAATAAGACTCTGGCAACAATTTCTACCTCACATTTGGTAAATCAATTAATCTATCAATCAAATCCCCTCTCTGTATTTCCTGGTCTGTGACATGTGAATACTGAGGTAAGAATGAACTAAACATATGCTAAGTGTTCTGACCTCCTTGTAGACATTTGGCATACTAGAATTGCAAAGTATTATTCTATTTAGGAATGCAGGTCTTGCTAATTCTCTGTTACCCTTCAGACTGTTCCATTTCTGAACACTTTGAAAAGAAAACTCTCCTAAATTCCCTTTTATTTACAGTGAGTAACTTTGTACTTGTACTAGTAAAAATGAACATGAGAAAACAATTAAGACTGTGTTTTTTGAAAATAAGAAATGCCTAGGAAAACGCAGTGAAAAATTTTATTATTACACCAAAATATTAGCATACAGTAGGGATACCATTCTCTACCCCAGTGATTCTACCACCTGTATGCGTCCCACATATGGCTGAAAGGCTCTTAAATAATCCCTGTGTTTGCTGCTTTTATAATACTCATAAAACCCAAGCTTTTATTCGTTTGCAGCCATTTTTGATTGAAACTGAAAAGTTAAACCTTCAAATCTCCTGAAGAAAAAGGAGACAAGATGTAAACAAGTAACAATGTCATCTGAAGATCTCCAGATATGCTTCCATCTGGGACTAGGGAGAAAGACTCTCATTTGCAGTACGCACTGATCTAATTAGAATTGACATAGTATAGCACTTAGATGATGTAAACCAGCTTATTAAAAGGAAGCTCATTTTTGTGGTATTTTTAAAAGCATTGAAGGTGCAGGGAGGTGCACTGAAGCTAGGCAAGATCCCCAAGTTCTACTCCTGTTTCCCCTAGAGATATAACTCCACTTTCCCCAGCCTTGAAGTTGTCCTTCTCCAGACAGGACCTGTGTTTCTCTTCCTCTAGACACTGTTGCTGAGCAAGCCAGCTCAGCACATTCCCTTCAGGCAACCAGCCACAACTTAATCAGCCACATGCAGGCTCCTGGTAACCTATAGCTGAGAGGAGGCCCTCTTCAACTATGATGAAGGACTCCAGTGATCTTATCTTGGTGGGATAGGCTGCAAAACCTAAGTTACAATAAGCTTCACATGAGATTGTGAACAGGAGGCAAAAAGAGGTCTTTGGCAAGTAATGCCAATACTGTTGATGCAGATACTGACTTCTGCTATACTATTTATCAGAATGTAAACCTGTAAAATGTGGATCTTATCTTTGAAAGCCACAGATGTGTTGGTGCAATCTTCCAGTCAGTGAGCTCTTGCAGTAGAGAAATATTAATCCACTGCATTTTGAACTTAGATTTATTTGTTGAAATCTTACAGAATCTTAGAATGGCTTGGGTTGGAATGGACCTTAGAGATCCTCTAGTTCCAATCCCTTGCCATGGGCAGGGACACCTTCCACTAGACCAGCCTGGCCCCTCCAGCCTGGCCTTGAAAATTTCAAAGGATGGGACATTCGCTTCTCTGGACAACCTGCTCCAGTGCCTCACCACCCTCACAGTCAATAATTTTTTCCTAATACCTAATCTAAAGCTACACACAGTTTGGATCCATTCCCTCTCGTCCTGTCATCACATGCCGTTGTAAAAAGTCCCGCTCTGTCTTTCCTGTGGGTTCCCTTCAGGTACTGGAGGCCGCAAATAGATTACCCCTAAGCCACTTCTTTTCCAGGCTGAACAACCAATTCCCTCGTAGAAGAGGTGCTCTGTCTTTCCAATTCTTGTGGTAGCCTCCTCTGGACTTGTGGAGAAACACAGTGGGAAACACAGCCAATAACACAACTGGAAACCAACTCTCACTTGAGGGTGAGGTGAAGATGTGCAGTGTCAGGCAGGAACCAGTGCCGATCCCCTGGGATGACTCCATGCAATCTCTGGCTTTAGGAGACCATCTCTACACACAGTTTGTGCCTCCCTTTTTCCAGGAAGCAACTGCAAGAGCTTGGGAACAGATGGAGATATGTCATGCTGGCTGTTTACCTTCTCCACTCAGAGAAGACAGCGGCTGGAAAGCATGTTCCTGCTTTAAAAGAGCATCTCCCTCCCCACTGTAGAATCCCTGAAGGTTAGGGCCCAGTGTGTGTCTCAGACACTGATAACTGGATGGCTGTGGAGCCAATGAATCAGACAGGAATCCCACCAGACAAGAATTCTTGGTAATATCAAAAGACTGTTGGCATTAATACACTGTGAAGAAAAACAAGTTGTGAGTGGCGAAGGGGGCCAAGAGGAGGTAGGGCAACACTTTTCTCGGACAAACATCCTTGCTTAAGTTCTTGGACATAAACACAACGAACCACAGTGCAAGCACAGGAATGAGGCCAAGACATGGGCACGGGCTGTAGGAGGGATCAAGGCCACTCAAGACCCTCACTCAGACTGTGCATGGGAACTAATTTACACAGAAAGAGAGAAACGAGTCTTCAGGGCAGGGAAACCTAGCCATAAAAAGGTATCCCTGCCCTGAACATCAGCTGGATCCCTTTCTCTTTCCCTTTCTCTTTCCCCTTTAATTCTTCTCTTCCTTTCTCTATTCCCTCTCCCCCCTCCCCTTTACGCAAAACCCCCTGCCGTGCGCTTTTCGTGCATGTCAGGGACTAACTTACACCGGCTCCTATGCCGAGTGCATGATTCCCTAATCAAATCTTCTTGTTTTCTGCGGGCCCTATTGCCCGGCTCCCTTCCGACCAAGCGCATTTACGAGACAGGGATCGTTTCCCCTCCAGGCCGGCTCGCCAGACCGCCGCTTCCGCATCCCGCTCCGCTCCGACGTCACCGCCGGTGCCGGGCCCGCCCCGCTGCCGCCGCGCCCGGGAGCCGCCCGCCGTGCTCGCCCGCCCGCCCGCAGGTAAGCGCGGCCACCCCCGGCTGGCCCCGGCCGCTCCCTGTGCCTTTGGGCCTTTCCCGAGGCCTTGGGAAGCGGGGAGTCCCGCTGGCCGGAGGCAGGGCCGCTGTGCATGCGTTGTGGGCGCTGCTGGCGTTGTTAGCGAGCATTGTAAACGCGGTTTGTGGAGTCGCAGCGTGGTTTGGGGTGGAAGGGATTTTAAAGATCGCGTTATTCCAACCCCTCTGCTGTGGACAGGGACGCCTTCCACTACAGGCGAGGTTGCTTAGAGCTCCATCCGGCCTGGCCTTGAATGTTTAATGTATGACATGTTTACGACTGGCTTACGTGTAGGTGAGAAAAAGAACATTGGCTGTAGGCTTTTTTTTTTTGCATTTTTTGAGGATGGATGTTCTGTGGGCAGTAAACGGTTACATGCCTGTTAAAAACTGGGAAAATAGTGTTGAAACTTGAGGAGCCTTGGGAACTTGGCTCCCAAATTTTTCAAAGAGAAGGTACAGTGTGCACATACAGGCTGTGAGCACAGTTCAGCAGCACCTAACAGAAGGGCAGGTGGCACTTAAAGTTATGAGTACCCTGTAATGAAACATCTGTAGCTCTCCTGTTGCTGCAAAGGTCAAAATGTCCCCTTCCTTACACTTTGTCACAGCTTTCTGACCACAAGCTTAGCTGCTGCCAGCATCGTGGAATGGACTTCCAGTAGCAAATTAAAATTTAGATGATGCCGATTAAAAGGCCTCATTTATGAGACAAACAAAAATGGAAGAACTGGATTTTAGAATCAGCATTGAAATGTGTCTGGCACATTTCTTGTCTTTAAAAGTATAAAAAAACCACTTCAAATCTAAAATACATGGGTATTGCTAATCCTGTGGCAGTATGACATTGGTAAAGAGATAAGAAAACACTCAACCCAAAGCTCTTCTCCAGAGTGTGAGAAATTTAAAAGTAATTGGTAGAATTTTCAGGCTTCATGTCAGAAAAACAGAAACCTTTATGAAAAGTGCCTTTCTCTTTGAAGTGGCTTAAGATTTTTAGCATTGCTTTTTTCATCTGTGGTCTGCTTTTCCTCTAAATAAATAAACAGAACACCAGAATGGACTGGCCACCATAGCTCCAGGTAGATGTTTTATTTCCTGCATCAGTAAAATCGCTGCTAAGAACATAAACATCCCACAATTACTAAATTATATTGAACCAAAAAAATGGGTAAAGATGCTTCTAATATGAACAGCCAAATAAAAATAATAGTTAGCACAGCCAAATAAAAACCAGCTGAAAATACAAGTGAATTGCTGTTCAAAATGGTACAGAGAGGCACTACACAAATTACAAATACAGAAAATTACATTATAGTAAAGGAAATGCTTTTTCATGTATTGTGGAACTAGTGGCTAAAGGAAACTAGGTCAGCAGTTTAAAGGGATTGGAAAAACCTCTTGATTTTAATTCTGGATATTCATATTCATGATGCTGATATCAGTGGAGAGTGGCAGCAGGTTTTAGAAGTAGTAAACTCTCCATAGTTTGCAAGTATACAGGAGGTGCAAACTGCAGGCAGGTAATTTCCTCTTGCTGGAAATTTGTAGGACAGAAGTATTCAGTATTGATTGTTGTCCCCACTGTGTGTAAACTGATTTGTCCAAGGAGACAGTCTTTTGCTGCACAAGAAGTTCGTGGTAGGTTTTTTTCCTCTATGCAATTAGTAAATATGCATGAAAAGATGAATTAATCTAATTACCTAATCTGATTTTTATTAGGTGAAAAATCTGAAAAAAAATAAAGCATCTGAGCTAAGTATAAAGAAAAGGCCTTTTAGTGCTTAAGGAATACGCAAGAATTAACATGATGAGCGGATTGCAATATTTAGCAGAATCTAAATCGCTTTTTTGTCTTCTGTTTGCACATTACAGAATATTTCAAATACACCATTTTTATTCCAAACTTGCAGTTTTAATTCCAGTTGAAAACCACGTGCAAGACGCTAACACTGAGCATTTTTCATTTCTGCTTAAGTGGTTTCCTATTGCCGTGTTGACAGATGCATGTAGCTTCCACTGTGTTCACAATGTATCTTCAGCAAAAGATACACAGAGGTACTTCTGGCCTAATTAGAGTTTGTATCTTTCAGTGTGACAGGGCTTTGCTGGGGTCACAGAGCCCAGAGCGGGGTGTGAGCAGGAAGGGAAGTTTCGTTTTGCTTTTTAAGCCAACTGGCAATTGCTTTCGAAGGTTTGTGTTAAATCACCTCTAGATATATTAAAAGATTATTCATAAAAGCCACCTGAAAATTGACTGCAATTTCTATTTTTCCTGGGTGTGCTTTTCTTAAAAGGGGTCTCTAGTTCTTCTCTTCTTTCTCCTGGAAGATAAATATAGCTAATTTTGCTAGTAGTATTGTCCACAACCATCTGTATTCAGTTTGTTTTTATTTAAAATACCTTCATATGGCATTTAACTTGGTTGTCTCTTAGATCAATAGCCATGTTAACACTACAGCAAACTGCTTTTGATTGTCACCTGTGTAGTTGTTTGTTTTTATAGAGTCTGCAGAAAATGACGTATTTTCTCTTTCTCCTTTTCATGCTTGTGTCTTTTCTGTGGTTCATTAATAATGTCTGATATTTCCCTCCCTTTTTGCAGTTTGTGTTACCTACTTTGGTTTATAATATATTTATATGTTGACTGCAAAGAGAACAAGGTTTTTCTTGTGTTCTAAACAGAAAATGCAGTCCTCTTTCTGAATAATTGAGAATTTATTCAGAATTTTTCAGAAATTTCAGATTATTCAGAAATTTTGCAGCTATAGAAACTAATAAACATTTTTTAAACAGACCTAAATGCAATGCATAAATTTTCTCATGAAAATGGCTTACTTTTGCAATCTAAAGTCCTTTTCTTTCTCAAATACATATTCTTATGGGTTTTTCCCCCAAAAATTACATGGCAGCTCAAGGTTATTAAAAGGGAAGTTTGTTTGTGGTAAGTTGGTGTTAGGAAGTTGTGCAACATTTTTCATCACAGGTTTTTTGCCTCAGTGTCCTTAATCAAAGTAGTAAATTTATTTTGTACTTTATGTTTATGGGTTATGAACCTTTTTTTGCATTCTCAAAATTTAAGATCTTTGAAGTGTTACCATTGTAACAACCACAGGTTATGTGTTGTGCATCATAGGTCTTATTGCTTGATAATGAAAATTCTGTCTTATTTCCTTTAAAATTCCCCATTGTTCGCATTACTTATCTAGCTAGAATTTTTCATTACTTCTCTTATCTGAATATTTCTACTATCCTTAATTTTTAAAGTGAGAACTAAGTGCCAGTAAAATCTGGTTGAAAGTCAGTAAATTCAAATCACATTGTAATTAACATTGTAATTCTAATTAACACTGTCTTCAGGGACTGACTTAAGTTTTTACTTATTCAAAATACAAAAAGAAACACTTGAAGAACTTTGAGGAAAAATTTGTTTGTTATTTAATAACTGAAACATAACTACTGAGGGCAGTATAGCTTTTGGAGTCATGGAGTTCCCTTCTATCCTTGGCTTTGTCATTGTGCAGGTGTGAGTACACAAGCCATGTGTTGATTTTGGCAGAAACAGCTTTGTGGAGTTTCTAGTGCACACGTTTTCTCATGTAGTTTGCTCTTGTTAAGGTTACCAAAATTATTTTAGGCTGTTGACTTTTGCCTCATTGTTGGCATGTATATCCTTCTTAGAGATTAGTTATGCTGAAGCAGCAGTGTAATGAAAAGACAGAGGTCCCTACACAGCAGGAGTAGGAACTTGCTAGTTCCTGTGGAAGTGAACAGAAAACACAAGTTTAATAAATTCTTCCCGCTCCCCAGGCAGAAGCAGCAGACTTAGCAGTGCAGGGTTCTGTACACAGGCTAAAGGGCAGCCTTGTTCCATTGAAGTTCGATTGTTGGGGGTTAAGATTTTTCCTTTTCTTTCTTTTTTCTTTCTCCCATGGAATTTTGTCCCATTTGTTGTAAGAGACAGTAACAAGTACTTAGGAGAGACAAAAGAAATGGCCAAGGTGGGGAAGGGTGCGGCTGGCTACTCTCTTACCCGAGGGGCTTTTTCTTGGGAAGGGCAGAGATACGGTGAGATTGTGGCTGGGATGTGGGGGCTGGGCTTCACCTCGGCTCTCTCCCTGTCGGAGGAGGGACAGAGGGACAGCCGGTCTGTGGTCGCTGCCCGGAGGATTTGCTGCCGCTACGGAGCTTTTGTCCTCCCACTGCTGCTCCTACCGCAGGTGAGCCTTTGCTCGTGAGAGCAGCTGATAAACTGGGACCTAATTAACGCCCGATCCGACTGGAAAGGACCCTCACCATCTACTCGGGTGCCTCAGGGCAAAGCCCGGGACCCTGACCCTCTCCGGCATCCTGGAGAGCGCGTCTCCCTGGCTGCTGCTGCCCAGCCTCGCTGTTTTCTGCCGCTGCCTCGGGTTTTTTTTGCTGCACTCTTATCCAGCAGCCGACCCCCCCGAAGCTCCGGCTAAAGCTGCGGGGGTTTTCTGTTACATTTTGTTTTGCCCCCGGGGTGTGCCTGCCTCTGCAGTCCCCTCTGCCCCTCCGAGGTTCCCGCCGCAGCCCACTTCCCACTTCGCCGTCCATCCCGCCATCACCACTGAGGGGGACGCGGCCGAGCTCGCGCCGCAGCGCCCCCTGCAGGCGCGGGGCGATCACCGCGCCCGCCCCGCCCGGCCGGGAGCCAGCAGCGCCCCCGTCGGCCGTGAGCGGAACTGCACGCAGGGCCCAGAGCGGGGGGCTGGGTTTGAGTTCTGCCGCTGTTGTTTTGTGTGCCTTGTTATCCTCGTACGGACTAGCAAAGGTCTATTATTGCTTTCCCATATCTTTGCTTGGAATCCCCATATTTTCAAATTTATA